GTGTGCCACAACGTAGAGAACCCCATCTCCGCGTAGAAATCTGGAGCCAAAACACGCGAAGCCGTAGACTCTAACCCAGACACCTGCTCTCTACGTGATTTCTCTACGTTTCACGTATAGCAGAACCTCTCTCTACTAAGAATAATTTTTAAAAGAGGTCGGAGGCGGATAATACTTTAAAACGAAGGTAAGTTATAGGTCGCAAGTATCCACGCAAACACACATCCAGTCACAAAAAGGCACTTGTCCAAAGGATCCGAACGTTTTCGGTCCCTTCTCATCAAGGATTATACAGGAAGTGGCTCAAGTTGGCAAGACTAAAACTTATATAGCGTAAAGATAATAATTATTAGATAACAACACTCGTGACAAGGTGGAAAATTAACAATTTCAGCACGACACAAAACTCGAAGGAAAATAATATAAAATAGTGACAACAACATAGTGAGAATGAGGTTGAAGACACCACTGCAGCTGTACTTATGGTTGATAAATATGGTGGTAAATACACACCTGGCAATATGGCGGTAAACACACGCCTGCCCACACACGCTCTCTAGGCTGCAAAGTTCTGGCACAGATCTCTCCTTCTCACCACCACCAGCATCAGTTCGCGCCTGGCGCCTGGTCGATGCATGGCTGGCGGTATCCGCATAGCAGGCTGGTACATCAAGTAGCGCATGGCACATAGATGATGACACAGCAACGACATAGCTCGATTGCGACGTACGTTTCGTCCCCGCTGGACTCATCAGGCAATCTTCTTCTTGGATGTCTTCATACGGAGCTTAACTCAGCGGGAGAATGAGGTTGAAGACACCACTGCAGCTGTACTTATGGTTGATAAATATGGTGGTAAATACACACCTGGCAATATGGCGGTAAACACACGCCTGCCCACACACGCTCTCTAGGCTGCAAAGTTCTGGCACAGAGCTCTCCTTCTCACCACCACCAGCATCAGTTCGCGCCTGGCGCCTGGTTGATGCATGGCTGGCGGTATCCGGCATAGCAGGCTGGTACATCAAGTAGCGCATGGCACATAGATGATGACACAGCAACGACATAGCTCGATTGCGACGTACGTTTCGTCCCCGCTGGACTCATCAGGCAATCTTCTTCTTGGATGTCTTCATACGGAGATACATACAGGTGTGTATTTACCACCATATTTATCAACCATAGGTACAGCTGCAGTGGTGTCTTCAACCTCATTCTCCCGAGTTAAGCTCCGTATGAAGACATCCAAGAAGAAGATTGCCTGATGAGTCCAGCGGGGACGAAACGTACGTCGCAATCGAGCTATGTCGTTGATGTGTCATCATCTATGTGCCATGCGCTACTTGATGTACCAGCCTGCTATGCCGGATACCGCCAGCCATGCATCGACCAGGCGCCATGCGCGAACTGATGCTGGTGGTGGTGAGAAGGAGAGATCTGTGCCAGAACTTTGCAGCCTAGAGAGCGTGTGTGGGCAGGCGTGTGTTTACCGCCATATTGCCAGGTGTGTATTTACCACCATATTTATCAACAACATAGTGAGCAAATTAAGTTACATTGTTAACACCTCGACGAGGAGTAACACGAAACAATTGTAGCGACAACACAATTTCTTTCTGTACGCAAAGTTCAGGATCTAACTTACGGATATACAAAGCTTCTAACACAGCCAAATGCAACGCACATCTACCACGTGACAATATTGAGAGGGAGGCAAGAGCTGACGAAGTGGGCTGGTAGGATTGGAGCACAGTAGCTTGTACATGTAAATGTAGGTGCAAGCAGCTACCATGCGCCGGACCCCTTGATTAGGCAGGCCATATTGGGCAATAATGATGACGTTTTCCCCAATGACACCAATTTTATGACGCTCCATGTTACTCTACGTTACAGAAGTGACTAACTTTGATCAATGGTTTGTAGAGCCCCATTCTCTAGGAGATATCTACATCTGCTCTGTTTAATGTCCAGAATAAGCGAACGTGTGGATCAAGCATAACTGCTTGGTTGACGCTGCCGCGGAAATGCGTATAATAAAATAATTAATAATAATAATAATATTGGGCATACATGTACACGAATAGCTGACCTTGACCGAATTTTTTTATGTTCCCACTATATCAAACACAATGTATAGAAGGGTTTGGTACGACCGGAGCAATTGAATACTGCTTCCGGCAGTCCTGATATAAAACCGAGGCCTGTGATTGTTGTGAATAATTATTATGTCAACACTTCTGTTGTTGTTATTATTTTGATTCGTTGACCAAAACGGACATTATTGTTTGTTTGTATTTATTTTGATTCGCAAATTCGCGAAATTCGCGAATATGAAAATATTCGCGAATGTGAAAATTATAATGAGAATGAGAATTAAAATACTTAGATCTTCAGCGTAGAGTCAGCGGTACATCAGAGGGAGATCGGGTACAACAGAAAGAGAACAGAAAAAACCCAGAAGATTTCGCTTGTCTTCAGCATCTACAGGGCACAGGTATGGGATTACCTGCGTGCGAAACTGCCGAGCGTGATGGATGGCACGGATGTTGCTGGGGAGGGCATTCCATAACCTAGCACCCTAGCAAGCAAAGCGCCCCCGCCCCGCAACCGAGTGGGAAACTAGCACGCACAGGCCCATGGCAGATTGGAGCCGAGAAGGGCCGGGTGCAGCGGGGGTTAGCAGGGCTTGCAACTCTGGACTTGCCACTGCATAACGACAGCGCCACACCGGGTATGCTAGCTTCTGATTGAAGACTTCTGCCACACGGAACACTGCCATGCGCTCCAGCAGGTCGCGGACAGACGACCACGGAGGGCGGCCAAAGACAGCACGAGCCCCACTGTTCTGCAGGACCTGTAGACGGTCGCTTCTTTGCAGTGAGCTAGAGTACGCGTTTGAGGCATACAGCAGGTCAGACATGATCAGCGATCTAAAGTAGGTCATGCGTGACTGGTGATTCAGGCAGCGGCGCATTCGCCAGAGTGCTCCGATCTTCTGCGACACGCGTGCAGAACATTTGGCAATGTGGGCGTGCCAGGATATGCCGGAATCGATTGTGGCGCCAAGATAACGAGCACTTAGCACACTAGGCAGTGAAGTGGCATGGCAGATGACCTGTTGTTGTTTGTTGTTTATTTATTTTACATCGCAAGGCAAACGGGCAGTTCTGCCCAATATTATGGAAGCGATGACAACCAGTAAGAGGAGTCAGAAATGAAGAGAAAAATAAATGAAAATAGAAATACGAAAATGGAAGTAGCAATGAGGGGAGGCAGGGTCAAGACGAGCAGAAAAAATGGATCTCAAATTTACAAGTCGGGTCATCGTAGCATGATTCTATCGAGCCTCATCAGCAGGTTACAAAAGCCATTACATTTAACCGAAGTAACCTGTAGATCAGCTGTGTGCTGATGGCCGGCAGGAATTGGCACTACTTGGCTCTTGCCAGCATTGAGGATCAGGCCTCGATTCTTCAGCCAGTCTGCAAGGATTTAAACCGAAGCAGATAAGATTGATTGATTGATTGATTTTATTTGGATTCGCGAGACCAAACGAGCAGGAGTGCTCAATAACAGGGTAGCGAATGGTTGAGTTGTGCCATAAGACATTGTGCCATAAGACATCGGATACCTCCTGTGCTGTTCGCCGGCTGCACGCGAGCGCAATATCGTCCGCGAACTGAACTGACTCGGACTGCGTTGACATAATTATTCACAACAATCACAGACCTCGGTTTTATAACCAAGAACAATGGGACGAATAAGGAGAGGCACAGTGTCATAAAGATATAAAGAGGGTGAGAGATAGAGAGAAAGAGACAGAGAGACAGAGACACACATAGGAAGACGGAGCAGCGTCATGCCAAGGAGTTGTACGATGGCGTGGATGGAGACCTGCAGAGGTCCATGGATCTTGCCGCTGAAAAGGGTGTGTCGAACTGGCTCACCTGTCGGCCACTCAAGCATCATGGGCTCTCCCTACACAAGGGCGCGTTTCGAGATGCTGTCTGCCTCCACTACGGGTGGACTCCGCTCCGCCTCCCACAGAGCTGTACCAGTGGAGCTGCCTTCACTGTCCTACACGCTCTGTCTTGCCCAGTAGGTGGCTATTCGTCCTTGCGACACAACGAGCTGCGGGACCTGACCGCTACCATGCTCACATCAGCAGCTCATGATACCAGCATTGAGCCACGCCTCCTGCCGTTGTCTGGTGAGAATTTTCATCGCCGGACGGCTATCCGTGAGGATGGTGCCAGGTTGGATGCTGATGCCAGCGGGGGCCGGGTATGGGGTGGCCGCGGTTTGAGCGAGCCTCTCTTTGATATTCGGGTGTTCAACCCTCATGCTCGCCCGAACTCAGTCCACTCTATCCCCGCAGCATACGCAAAACATGAGCGCGAGAAGCCTTCGCATTATGAGGAGCGTGTTCGCGAGGTGGAGCATGCCACCTTCGTTCCCCTCGTGTTTAGTGCCACCAGGGCAGGGCCACCAGGGTGTTTAGTGCCAGGGCACGGCGGCAACTGCTCTCTACAAGCGGCTTGGACTGATCATCAGCGACAAGAAGAATGAGCCTTTACTCCATCACTATGGCATGGATTAGATGCAGTGGGGTTCGCCCTTCTTCGCTCGGCCATTATCAGATTATCATGATTATGGCCCTCCGGGGACACCTGTCCCCGGAGCAGAGTTGCAGTAGCTCAATCTACTGCACCGGTGCAGTGACTGCTGAATGGCAAGGAGTAGTAAAATACCGGTATCTTACGACTCAGGCATGTGCGACTACGAGAGAACTGACTGACGTGACGTCGACATGACACATACTAGTATGTCACGGCAGTCAGTAAAAATCTGTTTGTTTAGCATGCATGCGCGTATGTGATGTGGTTTTTGGCATGTCTGCCGTACAGACTCAGTCAGTGTACTAACTTGACTCATGACATGAGTACGAGTGAGCATGCATGCACAAGATTGACAGTGTGAGAAAGAATGTTGAAAGACGTCAAAAAACTGCTTTGCTTACACATTTTAGTAAGTAACGGTTCTCTTTGTTAGTCTTGTGTGCTCAGTACTCCAGGTGTGACCATACAAGTACAGGTCGTTGTGAGCTTCTGCAGCAGTTTTGTTTTTTTCTGAGTCAAGTAGAGGAGAGGGCAGTGTCGCCATCCCGTGAAGATAATCATAAATTTTAGTATTTCTGTGAAAGAAGCCAATACTGGTACTAGTGGTCCACTTGACCGTCAGTCTTTGATTGACAGGTTATCAAATTGTAGACGTCCTACTTCTGCTTAGATTTCCCAGGCCTGGACATCGTAAAAGAACTTCGCGTTCTTGTGGATTCTCCCTCAGATGTGGACGAGGAGCTGACTGCACTACTAGTATTCTTACTTCCGCAATAAAAAATATTACGGAGCACTCGATCGATGGCTGTGTCATCAATGTCGGAGGTGAACTTCGATTCCCTCTCCATGTCTCAGGATGAGGTAAGTGGCAGCTATCAACAGTAATCAAGCAATTGTATTCCCTTTTTATTGTTTTCGTGTACCGATATGTGTATTGTACTGTCGTACTTCATACAACTTGATTGTGTGTTATTCCGAAAATGTCCTGCATTTCATTTCGTGATAAATCACATCAGATGCTCTACTTTACGTCAAGTGAAGTATTTGCAGTGTCGTCTCTCCAGTCGCTGCCGACTAGTGAGGTGCTCGACCAGTGCGAGTCGTGCATTGCGTGAGTGTTTGCTTTCTTTCTGACCCGTGGAGAGTGCCGTGTTGGCTCGGGAGTCACAGTGTCGATGTCGTGTCTGGTTTCTTTCAGCGCTGAGATGCTTGCACAATCGTCTGCACACCGTTGAGAATGTAGCACACACGCACACGTACACTGCACTGCATGCACTGGCCCACTGGAATGGCGTCTTCAAGCGCATGCCATACACAAAACCAGGAGTACGAGCGTACTACAAAGAGTACAACCATGTGAGATGTTTGCATGCACATGGAATGTGGCATGGTGTGCTACCAAGAGTACATTAACCAGAGTGTGCAACTGTGCATATCAGATCTGAAACAGCGCAGTTCGTGCACTACGCCACCCTGATGAGGTCAGCCAAGCCGCGACTTGCGTACAGCTCAAATTTTCATGTTTCATAGCCCGGAAATCAGCCAAGTAATAGTTTGCTTGATTTTAGACGTCCTGTTTCACGATTTCGGTGTTTTGTGTGACTGTGTACGCTGCGTACATCCACCGACAAGTAAAGTCACCAGGCTATCTGTATCAAAAAACCGAAATCAGGACAAACTCAGTGACCTGCACCACCGTGACTGGTTACGCCACTTTTCACCGTACCTGGGGTTTACCCTGCCGTCAGAAATGACGTACTGCACGACACTGCATGCACTGGCCCACTGGAATGGCGTCTTCAAGCGCATGCCATACACAAAACCAGGAGTACGAGCGTACTACAAAGAGTACAACCATGTGAGATGTTTGCATGCACATGGAATGTGGCATGGTGTGCTACCAAGAGTACATTAACCAGAGTGTGCAACTGTGCATATCAGATCTGAAACAGCGCAGTTCGTGCACTACGCCACCCTGATGAGGTCAGCCAAGCCGCGACTTGCGTACAGCTCAAATTTTCATGTTTCATAGCCCGGAAATCAGCCAAGTAATAGTTTGCTTGATTTTAGACGTCCTGTTTCACGATTTCGGTGTTTTGTGTGACTGTGTACGCTGCGTACATCCACCGACAAGTAAAGTCACCAGGCTATCTGTATCAAAAAACCGAAATCAGGACAAACTCAGTGACCTGCACCACCGTGACTGGTTACGCCACTTTTCACCGTACCTGGGGTTTACCCTGCCGTCAGAAATGACGTACTGCACGAATTGTGCTCCCACAGGAACCATCCCGAGTTGCACACTCTGGTTTATGTACTCGTTATGCTACCCAAATCAGAGAGGTTGCGGGCAGCGTAGATTCGTACATTATTTCGTAGTGTTCGACGGATCAAGCAGTGACGAAAAAGGCTGCAAAAATAGGTTGATGTGGAGCTTGTTCAAAACTCGGAACGTCAAGTTTTCCGGAGTGCAAGAAAATAGGTCTTGCCAGTCACACACGCAGGCTAAGTGTACGACGTGATGCAGGTGCCATACGTTACTGTGTGGCAGTTCGGTGATTGCAACGAAAGTAATTTTCGTTGTTGAGCTCTTTTGGCGTCAAAGGTTGACGAAAGTTCGTACGACTTGGGTGCGGCTCTCTGGTGATCAGAGTTGTGCGTGAGCCGAATGGGGGGGGGGGGGGGGGGGGGGGGCTTGAAGGGATTTTAGACTCTAGACAAAACATCCATTGTAGTCCTAGAAAGGGTGTGAATAGAACATGCATGTGCAATCCATGAAGTGTACGCTGAGCCCCTTCAGCGAAAGTGTGCATCTGTACCGGAGCACTGGACAATGTTTGAGTTTGAGTGTGCTGCTGTCTTTGCTGCTGCTGCTGCTGGTGGTGGTGGTGCTGCTGCTGCTGCTGGTGGTGGTGGTGCTGCTGCTGCTGCTGGTGGTGGTGGTGGTACTGCTGCTGCTGCTGGTGGTGGTGGTACTGCTGCTGCTACTGCAGGGGCAGTGGCGGTGGTTTTGGCAGTGCTTGTGATGGGGCTGGAGCGAGTGCTGTGTATGTACAGCCAGTGCTAGTGCTGGTGATGTGCGATGTTGGTGATGGCGGCGATGTTGGTAGTGATGGTAGCAGTGTTGTTGCGCTGCTGGTAGTGGCTGTATGGTGTGGCAACGTGGTAATAGTGAGTTTCTGCCACACGGTAAAGGAAGCGCGCTTCACACGGACTGGTCTCCGTGTGAAAACTGAGCGCACAGAGTACATGTGGCGGGAGTTTGAACGTGCTACGAGCATGCTACGCACAGCAGAACTGGCGCACCCGTACGAAAAATCCGTGTCAAACTTCACTGCAGTTGACACGGAGTTTGGTACGTAGTTCTGTGTAGCAGAATCTCACTAATATTATCTACTACCCGGACTTGCACAACTGTTGAATGCGGTTCTGGCGTCAGGCGATTGTGGATTGTTGTCTCCTAATGAGGTTTCTCTTGTAACCGGTGTTGTCCTAGCGACCGTAGACCTAAATTATCGGTATTCGTATCCAGTGCCTTGATCAACTTCTCGTGTATTGGTGCTTGTTGGTTTTCTCACTTCAATTCCGCCTCGTTTCGCTGTTTTTTTTTGTCCCGTTCCTTCCCAGGCATGCGACTGCATTTATCGAATGCTGGCCAAGATCGGAGTGGCTGAGGACCTGAACGTGTCTGACGACACGATAAGACATTTTGCGGTGAGTCACGCTCGCGTTCGTGCACCGCTCTTTGACATTGTGTGCGATGCTGTGTGTGCGCGTGCGTGTGTGTGTATGTGTGTGTGTGTGTGTGTGTGCATGTGTGTGTGCACGTGCGTGCGTGCATGTATGGGTGTGTGTGGAGTGCGTGTGTGGAGAAAAATGCCAAACGAATTAACTTTTAAGAAAAGGCCGGAATTTGACCTCTTGCGAAAGTTTTTGCCAGCCGCAGCTTGCACCTCTGCAGTACGTGGCAGAGCCCCAGACTGATCCTCCACCGGGTGTCGTGCCGATATCCTTCTGCTGTGAACACACCAGACATGTAGTGGATATTCCATTATTCAAACATGTTCGAGCTAACGACGCTCGAGGATTTATGAATAGGAAGTTTCAAACTCAAGATTCGATTTGGCACCCACTTTAATGTGGGTCATGAATGTTTGCAGTGTGTTCAGCTGACTTTATGCATGAGTACATGTAATGGTGTGATGATTCTTTCTATTTTATGTCATGTTTATTTTTTATATTTTTTTATTTGTTTGTTTGTTTCATGTTCGTCGAGTCTCACACGAACCGTGATTTTTGCTGGATCTTTTCTTGTGTGTGTGTGTAGAATGAGATACCGGACTACTACAACCATGTGCCGTTCCATTGCTTCCAGCATTGCGTCATGGTATCACAGATGGTATGTCCGAGCAACGCGTGTGCATGTGTGCGTGTCCGTGTCAGCTTTAGCTATCCCAGCTTTAAAATTTGAAGCCTGCAGCGGAAGGTGTGTGTGGGGGGGGGGGCACACATGCAGAACAGTAGCTCAGGGCGAGACCTGACGTGTACGTGTTGCGATTCAGATGCCGCAAATCCTTGACGGGTTGCCCTTTCCCCTAGATGCCATCATGTGTTAGAACGACTGCCATCGTAATTTGTGGGCCTGAAATGGATTGTTGCCCATTCTGCAAGTGCCGGTGTGTCTTACATACGAGTACAGTCCATTCATTGGAAACTGGCACCCTATTGTTTTTGTGTCTCCCCCGTATAGTTGTAGGTATCGTGAAAACAACAGTACGGTACATCCTGTATTGTGGCTGGTGAAATCCTGGTGGCCACTACCCGAGCCGTCTGCGACCTTTTTCATTGATGGTGTCCTCTCCCTCTCCCTCCCTCTCTCTCTCTCCGTCTCTCCCGCTGCAGACTTTTCTAGTGCTAACACGTTGCAGTTTGGGCAAGTCGATTGGTCAGCGCCAGAGTACCTCTTTAATTCTTGCTGCGCTCTGCCATGATATGCAGCATCCCGGCTTGAGTAATGAGTAAGTTGCGTATCTCTGCCTGGTGGGAACACATACCGCTCCCTTGTGTGGGTGAAGATGTGTGTAGGTGTCTGTGTGTGTGTGTGTGTGGGGGGGGGGGGGGGGGTGCGTGTGTGTGTGTGTGCATGTGTTCATGGCTGTGTGTGGGTATCCGTCTGTGCTTGCGTGGGTGTGTTCATTTATGCGTGTGGCTGGGTAAGATCGTGAAAGTCACTGAATGCATCAATACAATTATGTGTAGGAATGGACTCAGATGGAGAGCCAAGGTTTAATTTATACAAAAGAGAAAGACCAAGGAACTTGGAGTGCGCATCCAAGATGTGCTAGAGCTGTTAGCCAGTTAATTGTAGAACGTCAGTACCGTTGGTCAGTGTCGTGCAATGTTATCGCATGAGCTGATTGTTTAGTAACTGGTGGTGTTAGTGGACAGTATAGCGTAACTTGTAGTTCCTTGGTCTTTCTCTTTTGTACAATTATGTGGATGTATCTGGGTCTAGGTCTCGGCTTGATAATTGTTGTGGTTAGTGAGCCCTGTTTTCTTTGAAGAACCACATTGACCACGTAACCTGGATCTCTCTCTCTCTCTCTCTCTCTCTCTCTCTCTCTCTCTCTCTCTCTCTCTCTCTCTCTCTCTCTCTCTCTCTCTCTCTCTCTCTCTCTCTCGTACAGGTATCTCTTACGGACAGGCCATGAGTTTGCGCAGGCGTACAAGACGTCGCCTCTGGAGAACCACCATATCGCCTGTGCGCATAAGCTCATGTCAAGCGGTATTGCCAATAGTATACCGGATAGCGAGCGGGAACAGTTGCTTCGGGTAAGTTTTACGATCATAAGCAAAGGCAATGCTCTTAGGAAAAAGCTATGGCTGCAATAACCCGCCCGTTAACCCTTTGGAGCTCATCGTTCGAATTCGAACGATGCCAATGTCATGTGTGCAAGTGCACTCAACGAGTCACAACTCAGTCAAATCTCAACCGAATTCAACAATCGAAATACCTACGAGGTAGCAGAGAATCTAAGCTGTCGGCTCGAAAAACTCCGGGGTCGATACGAGCTAGTATAACAGAGCGGCGAGTGCTCGAAAGTTCGCTCGATTTCTCATGCGTCAGCGAAGTGCAAAAGTGGGATTTTCCCTCTTCCTGCCCACGCAGCGTGTGACATCACTCCCAGCGCTTTTTGTCCCGGCTTTTGTGAGCCTGTTAGAAAAAATTTGAATGATTTTGAGCTAGCACGAGTGAAATGGCGAGACAAGGACTATTCCCGTTTTGGATTTGGTATTCAGCTGGCGTTCCTGGCATTCGGTAGCAGACAGCAATCGCTCTCCTGGATGAGTTTGGGCTCGCTGTTATCCTCGTTCCAAGAGCTTTCCAACGAGCCCAAGATCGTCAGAATCGGTGAAGTAGAACCAGCGTTATGATGGAAATTGGAACGAATATACTTGCAATTGCAGCTATCTCCTGACGTCGTGTGATCAGTGCAGTTCCAAAGGGTTAAGCCAGGTACCGTTTGTTTCCTTGGAGGGTAACCGTTTCACCCCTAGTTGAAACCCGGCTTCTCTACGTACGGACGTACTTACGTACGTGTGCGTGTGTGTGTGTGTGTGTGTGTGTGTGCGTGTGTGTGTGTGTGTGTGTGTGTGTGTGTGTGTGTGCCCGTGTTTTTCCATCCTGCTGCAGGACATGCGAGAGTACATCCTTGCCACGGACTTATCCAATCACACTGGCATCATGACGGAAGTGGAGACGATAACGCCTATCTTCGACATCGCCAATCCATCACATCTACGAACGGTATGCAGAGATGACCGACCACCCCTAGCTTACCATTTTTTCAGGAGTATAAGTTGCTCTTTGAACACTCAAAATTCACCCCCAAAATGGGGGCGTGGGGTGATAAATAGGGTAGATGTCTGTATTTCGAGGGGAAAAAATGTCTGGTGCGGCTTATACTCCAGTGCGGCTTATACCCCAGCGCGGCTTGTACTCCAGCGTGGCTTATACTCCAGCGTGGCTTATACTCCAGTACTCCACGGTCAACTGGGTACTCACTACTCGGAGTGAGGGTAACATGGATGCAGCTAACGGAGTTCGCCCCTTGTCGGGCATTGGTTGTGAGAGTTACCACCTCACCCTCGCCGTTAGGCGCTGCATCTGCCACCCTGGTATCACAGGCATGGTGGTGGCCTGGCACAAGCGAAACTTCCTAAGCTGGTTGTGTTTCTCAACGCAACTGTATAGCCGGTGTGTAACGCGGACGTGCAAGCTTTATCTCATCGGAAACCCTAAACTTTCAATGTGAAAGCAGTTTTATTCTAAACTCTTTTCAAACTGGAAGCCACAACCTTACGTTGTAGTCCATTTCTGTGTGATGCCTAGAATGTGTAATACTGTATTTAAAACAACACACTACATGTATTATACATGTAGTGTCAGACCTCGCTTGTCCAGTCCAGTTTTATCCGGATCCCTCGCCACCCGGAAGAAAATCGTTGGTTACCGATTTACAGCATATGTCATGCATACATACAGTATGTGCGTTCGATTATCCGGTTCCCTTGTCTATCCGGATATTTTTGTGGAAAACGGATTTGTGCGGTTATGCAAGGTCTGACTGTAGTGTGTTGTTAGTCTGACCTTTGCACACTCTATGTCAAGTCCTATCCATTAAAGGGAAGATCTGTGGAACTTTAGCTGGCAGCCTGGATACAGGCTGCCTTTAGCTTTCCTCTCGATATGGTGTGGTGCTTGCCATAATATTTGCGTGTGCGGGCATGTATGCATGTGTGTGTGTGTGTGTGTGCGTGCGTGCGTGCGAGTGTGTGTCTTTCTTCTCTTTCTCAGACTCTTCCTTTTTCTTTCATTCTCCTGGGTGGTTACCAACAGCCAGTGCATGCCGGAGTATGTGGTGTGATGTGTGCGGGAAAAAAAAGAAAAAAAGAACAAAAAGTAGGGATTCACTGGCCAGAAAAAGCCACTTCATAGCTGTGTGGTGTAGACCAGGCTGAATAGTGGCGGCCAATTCTTCAGCCTTTCAAACTGTTGAAAGGTGCAATCCCAGCACAAGTTGCTATGGCTTCTGCTGTAGCATCGCTATCATCGCCTCCGGCGATGGGCGTCCAATGGTGTGTGTGTGTGGGTGCGTGCGTGCGTGTGTGTGTGCGTGCGTGTGTGTGTGAGTGTGTGTTTAGTGTTTAGTGTTTGCTTATGGCAAAGCAGCATGCTGTCTATACTGGTTACCCCAGCAAGTGTAGGGTGTGCATAGGTAACTGTCTTGGCCGTCCTATTCCGATGTGCTGCGTGTGGTGTAGACATGGTGTGCTTTTGGGGGGTCGATTCACTTGGCTTCGCCAGTTGTGTGGATTAGGCAGTTATCTGGCGCAAGTCTTGATCTGCTTCATTCAGATTCAGGTCCGCTAGCGTTGCTATAAGAGAAAGTCTGTTGGTACACATGTAGTGCATTTGCAGATTTGTGTGCTTCTCTTGCGACGGGCGTATACATGGTACATGGTATTACATGGTATGTGTGTGTGTGTTTGCATGTGTTTGCGCACGTGTGTGTGTGTGTTGGTGTTCGTGTGTGTGTACGTTTTGCACCTCACAGCTATGTAAGTTGGTGTTGAAGTGTTCAGATGTATCTAATGAGTGCCGTCCACAACCCGTAGCTAGCCGGTGGCTGAACAAACTCAACGAGGAATTCTGGGCTCAGGTATGGACAGTATTTCACTGCCTGCAAATTTATGGGTAAATTATTATCAATTCCGAAACGTAAAAATCATTCTGTCCTTGTGCAAAGAGGGTGTGCAACTGGTGATTTTTAGATTTACGGATGATCTGTCAAGTGTTGGCTGCGTAGAAGTAAAGAATTCTCTCTCTCTCTCTCTCTCTCTCTCTCTCTCTCTCTCTCTCTCTCTCTCTCTCTCTCTCTCTCTCTCTCTCTCTCTCTCTCTCTCTCTCTCTCTCTCTCTCTCTCTCTCCATCTCCATCTCCATCTCCATCTCCTTCTACCTATCTCTGTGTATGCAGGGTGACCAGGAGAAATCGGAGGGTTTCACACCCAAGCCGATAATGGACCGCGAAATGGCAGATATAGGACATCAACAGGTCGGTTTTCTATCTGACTTGGTCATCCCCATGTTTGAGGACCTCTGCAAGGTCAGTACGTCGAGCCATGTTACTATATACTATGTACTGTCACTATAAACTAGTATTGTCTAGAGAATGCACTACTGTAGGTAGGGGGGGGGGGGGGGCAAGGATATCTCTACTTTCTACCATGTAGCAGGCAGCAACAATCGGATGATTGGTATTTTTCGCAAGATGGCTGCCTTCTCGCAGCACTGTTTGATTAGTTGAACTACAGTTCCGCTCGGTGAAATCCGACCCGGAGTGCATATTTGGCACCCTCAACTTGCACGGCCCTTGACGCCCTGAAAGTGGTACGAATGCGGCTGGCCGTACACATGCACAAATACGATAATGTAATGGGAACTGGCGCAGGGCGTCAGCTTTGCACTTTGGGTCGGATTTCACCGAGCGCAACTGTAGTGTAGTGTGAGCCTGCGTTGCACTTGGTGTGTGGTCTTGTTCAATTATCTCCAGCTCTCATGATTCTGTAAAGCCACTAATGTCATGTTAAAAAAAAGGAGAAGGACCAGATGTTACGAGTTATGACTAACTGTCCACCAGCGTAACCAGATCATATCTTGTCAGTTTTGTGCCGTTTTGTTGCACTCGCTGACTGTATATGATCTGGTAACGTTGGCGGACACAGTTGGTCATAACTCATAACATTTTTGCCCTTCTCCTTTTTTTTACCATAATCAAATTGGCTCACCATCCGAGGCCAGTAATGTTAACGGACATTTAGTTACCGGGGGATGCACACCCAGTGTGCTGACAGTGCTCTCAACACTGCTGAAGCAGAGCGTAATACAGAACAACAAGGCCAGTCGATGCTTGTTTGCTGCTACTTCAAGATACCGAACATTTAGCTATAACGTATTCGTTAGCATTATTTTGAAGTCATTATGCACGATTTGTACACATTCATGTACAGTCATTTGCCGGTTTTGGGACGGAATTCGTTAGAATTTCACCTCGCTAGCCCACAAAAAGCAGGAGATGGTTGACTTTAATTGACGTTAAACTAACTGGTCTTTTTTAAAATACAGGACTACCGGTAGTACTCACTGTCGATGATTTCCGTGTCTTTTCTCTGTGTTGTCGGCGAACAGCTTGTGCCGCCGTTTGAAGATCTGGCGTTAACCTCGCTGCGTGCGTCTCTACAGCACTACAGTGCTGCCGTCGAGGACCAAGCAACGGTGTGAGCGCAGTCAGCGGCAGGGTTGTCTAGCCGTGCCCTACGCTACAGTGCCAACTGCTGAATCGTATGTTCGAGCGTGTGGAGTTTGTGTGCAGAGCACAACGCCACAGCAGCGAGTTTCCCCGCGTACGGAGTAGCCATGCTGAGGGCTTCTTTAGACGAGCGGCGCTGTGCAAGTGCTGCAGCGTGATGGTGTCTTGAAAAGTGGTCGACGCGCCACCGTGTGTGTCCGGCCATGAACGATGCCCGCATCAGGGCCAGAATCGCGCGTGCGTGCGTGCGCGTGCGCGCGTGTGTGTGTGTGTGTGTGTTTGTTTATATGTGGTGGGGTGGTGTTATTATTGCTTTGCTGTTGTTGTACCAATCCACTGTGGCTGGCTGGTCCCGTCATGGTGCTGCCTGCTGGCGCTATTATTGGAAGGTCTTAGTTGCGTTTCTTTTTCCGTCTCTCTCTCTCTCTCTTTCTTTCTTTCTCCCTCTCTCTTGATTCTCATACACTTTGTTGATCCATTCTCTACTCGCTTGGGTGTGAGTGCTATTTTTTCTCGCACGCGTTGTATATCCGTTTCTCTACTCGTCTGTATGTGTGTGAAGTCATGGCACAGAGCGGGGTCCTTTGTCGTGCGTGTGGCACGTTTTGTCAGCCGACTAACTCGTCTTTGCACCCACACTGGCGTGTCGGTTCTACTCAACTACTGCACCAATGATCTGACTATGACCAGAGTTGTAATATATCCACTAACCATCGACATTGAATATCCGATTGGCCGATGGCGTGCTAGCGGTTTTGCCGTCTCTCTCTCTCTTTTTAGGGCTTCTCAGTTGCAGCTTTCTCGCATGCCTCTCTTGGTTTGACGCGTTCGTCGTCGCAGTGCCTGACAATCTATTCTCTCTCCTCCTCCTCCTCTCTCTCTCTCTCTCTCTCTCTCTCTCTCTCTCTCTCTCTCTCTCTCTCTCTCTCTCTCTCTCTCTCTCTCTCTCTCTCTCTCTCTCTCTCTTTTCGGTGTGCTATATCTATGCATTGTCTTGACTTAGCTTCTGGAAGACTGTGTGCAAGAACTATACAACATAGTCACACTCCGTATATACTATGCTAAAGCTCTTTCAATTTTTGTTGATGTTGATCATATTCTCTTTTATACCGTACAGTTGTGTTTGGCGGTGACTTGATTTTGCCCGTTTTCTCTTTTGTGCCCACCTCTCGTGTTTGCTTTGCTTATCTCCTTCCTGGTTGCAGTCTTGTGCAGGATTTGTGAGATGTTTTGCTGTTTTCGAATTGGCGAGGTGTGTGCACATGTATGCTTGCGAGCACGCGGTCTCTCTCTCTCTCTCTCTCTCTCTCTCTCTCTCTCTTTCTCTCTTCTCTCTTTCAAGGTATTATTAGTAGGTTTTCTCTCTGTTTTTCCCTTGTTGTGGCGCTTTCTGTGTGCTTATCTTCTTTCCATTGTTTTGTTTGATGACAAATTTTTTTTGAAAATTAATGATTTTTGTGATTTCTGTGTTATTTTTTGAGCGAGGCTATTCTAGGGTGTCATCGATTGGCGAAGCTGGATTGAGTGCGAGCAGGCGGTGTAGTCCGAGCAACGCTGGCCCAATTGAACAAAAACAGGGGTGTGAAGTAAGCAAAATGTACGCAGCTGTCAAAAAACGCCAAAGTCCATTTCCACTCCAGCCACTCCCGTTGTGTGGGGGTGGGGCAGACATCCCGTGCCCCAACTACCGCTGTGACAGAGTGTTCCGTCGTCCTGGTGACCTCAACCGGCATGCGCCATACTGCAGATTTCGAGTTTAGAGCCTCAGCGTGAGGAAGCCATCGCTATTATTGCTACGGCAATGGGCGTTCAAGGTTCAAGGGGGCGGGGCGGTGTGGTCGGATTCCACTCCAAGTACACCTACTCCGGATTCGGCCAATCGATCACGTTCCCTCGGAGCGCACTTGCTCTGGATTCGCCCAATCGGTCATGCCCCTCCCCTGGTCACTGTATTAGTCTAAACTCGTTAGTAGAGAACCCCGGGGGTTTCAAGTTGATTGCCTTTTAGGGGGCCGTCCGTAATTATCGATCTTTTACACAAAATGAAAAACTTTCGCTCATGAGTGGGGGGGGTCGAGTAGAGTTTCGTGCTGAAAAATGTTGATAGCATAAACATCGATCCATTCTTGCTGAGAGGTTGCGCACAACGAAAATTCGTAGCGCCGTAACGAATATTTTTAACGAAAAAACTAACGAATATTCGTAAACCGTGAGGTTGCGCACAACGCGTGAACGTTTTCGTAGTGGGTCGACGCGGCGGCCGCGCGAGTACGAAGAGTCAAGACAGGGAGTTGTAAAATATCAGTATTTTAGTACTCCAGGTAACGAAAAATATTTTCGTAGATCTGCTCTGTTTCGGTCACGTTTGGACGGATCTTCGGAGCAACTTTCGTTACTCGAACCCGGACGGGCGAAATCTAACGAATTTTCGTTGTGCGCAACCTCTCTAATTTATTTTTCGTTCGGGGGGGGGGGGGGGGTGTTACTAAAGTCTTATCTCTTTCGTGCCGTGAAAATTATCGATAATGCCGGATGGCCCCTAAGGCCCTCTTCAGACTAGGTACAAAACAGCCTATAAGTCACATTTACATAGAAGTTTCCAGGACAACAACAAGAATCTGGCGGGAAGCCTAAAAAGCTGCCCAATCCTTTCAGGCAGGGTGCCAACCCTTGTACAAGGCAACTTTCCTGCATTTATCGTACTTTCACCAGGCAGTTGTACGAACTTTGTACCCGGGTACGACTGTCCGCTGCTTTCACACATCCCAGGCCAATTTCGTAGGGTCAAAGGTTGCCTGTGTATTGCATGTAAAATGTGTAGTCTGAATGCAGGCATGGAAAAATGTTGCCTTTTAGGTTTTATGTGATTTTGTACTGGATTTTCTATGTACGTAGTCTGATGAGGGCCTTTAGGGCGCGCTCACACTGCGACCATATACATGTACCATGAGCACGCGTCCATGCGTCAGCAAAACGCAGAAACGTGGCAGTCGTGCTCACACTAGGCCTCGTACACGCGTAGACGTGAAGTTGTCACACAAACTTTACGAATTGCAGTTCGTATCCAAAAGAGTCCGTGCGTTTCCTAATAAAATTGTGGCCCATTTTGGATGTAATTTTTCGCATGTTGCATGTTGGAGGAAGTGCCTCGTGGCTCGTATTCTTGAAGTCGACGAAAATAATTCATACAATCAGGTAGGTTTGGACTCTTGAGGGACTGCCGCTGACATCCAAGCGCTTTCGCTTTCCTGACCTCGTGGTCAGAGCAAGTGCCAGTGCAGTGGAAATTCCGGTAGTGGTTTCTTTCGTCTGTTGCCGAGATGAGAACTGTATTTTCCGATGATATGTAACTGAAATGTCTTGAGGTATGGCATTCCATCATCATGGCGCAGAAAAGTAGAGAAAGATAATTTCCGAAACCGAAAAGCCAGACCAAGCTGCCATCGTATTGAACGAGTACACTGTAGAAATTGGTCACTGACCCGATCACAACGAAGCAACTACAAAAACAAAATCGACATCGTCCAAAAAGGGCAAAGAATGCATATATGGCGGTGCGTGCGTGCAGGACCACAACTACAAAATTTTAAAAATGTGCAAATGTCGAGGTGACATCGACAACCGCCGATGTTCATGAATCAACACACCGGAATTTGAGAAATTGAACATACTTCAGGCCAGGTTGTACACAAATACGCTTCACGTCTACGATCATGTTGCCGCCAAGTCGTGGCACCCCCCTCCGAGGGTCGCGGTCACGATTTGAAACGTGGCCGCGACGTTTTGGTCAAGTTCATGCCGTTGCCATGCAACGAGGAAGGAGGAAACTGTAGTTATCACCAACCCTCACCGCGCCCAGCTCACGCCGCTACGGCGTGCGACCTGAGCTGGGCGCCCTGCCCAGTATGGAACTGTCCTCAAGCCAGTCACGTATTTGGCAGCCCAGTGAGCTGTCTACCGGATCGCAGCGTTTAGAAGCGCCAAATGCGGCAGGGCCAGTCTCAGGCTGGTCGCGTAGGCGCTAGGCGGCAGGCCGGCGGGCGACCGGCAAGGCTGCATTCGCATTTGGATCACCGAAGTGATGCAGGTGCTTCGACGGCACTCCGTGGCGCATCAAGGAGGCATCTAGGGCCCAGGCAGCCCGCCCGTAAGCCACCGTATCAGGTATGCGCAGGTGGAGCAGCAGAGCAAGATGTGTGCCGGACACTCACCATCATCCGGTCGACTGCATGGTTGTGCGACTTTACACAGCCGTCACTCATTACTTGCTATTGCTTGCAGAAGGCCAGAATTTTTTTCTTTTCTTTTTTCGCTCTTTCCCTTCTTCCAGGCACGGCTTCATGTTAGCTTAGAGCAGTAAATTGCAGTTAGGGACTCAGCTGAGTCAAGCTGGACACAGCGTGTCAAGTTTGGCATAATACAATAAGCGCGCTATCCCCAAACAGTTGTGTGCCGCTATGCATTGCATTTTGTCTTCACAGATAATCTGGACAAATAAATTATATTGTAACTGGAGAGTGCAATCGTGCTTGGGACCCATCCCAATGTCATCACATGGCTGTGGTGACTAGTGTATACCTGGGAGAGTTTTTCCTCAACTGAGACGGAGTGTAGGTGGATGGATTATGAGAAATGCGAAGATGTGGAGTAAGTTGTGTCGAAGAAATGTGTAATAAAATATAATTTACTTTACACTCAAACATACACTGTACATGTACATGTAACATCATGATAATGATTCCATCTTCATTATCTCCGCAATAGGTACGCCATACGCACCGAATACATGGTGTGTGTGTGCACGCGCGCGCTTGCGTGCGTGCGTACATGCACACACTCTCATGCGTGGCCGAGTTGACCGGATGAACAGACCACGCATTTGCACGAGGTGTCCGTCATGTCATTGGAGTGCTGTACTTTATGACTCAGGGGCGTAGGAGGGGTTTTGGAAGTGGTACGACCAAAGGTCGGTGCGGCGGAAGGCCGTGTTGGAGGGGGTCCGCCCCCCCCCGCCGGGAATTTTTTTTGTAAAAAAGACACAAAATCCTGCGTTCTGGGAACTTCTGGCACACTTCTGGCGCAGTGTGCAGTCGAGTCGAGTACAGTACTCAGTACGACTGCAGATGCATAACAGATCTACGAGTACGAGTCTAGAAAAAGGTCTGATGCGCATATGCAAATATCGATGGATCCTGAATTTTTTATTACGGTTTTGCACATTCCAGACGGACCACATTTTTCGAAAAGTGGTGCGGCCATGGTCATACCAGTCGTAGCGGGTGCTATGCCCCTGTGACTTTATTCCAAAATAGTATGTCGTGCCCCTGTCAAATGGAGTTTGTGTCTATACTCAGCGGGTATCGGGCCATGATGCCGCACTGCAGTTAGCGCTGGAATTAAAATAGCACTTCATGGATTATTTTAACTAATTTCCTTTGCGTTTACTTTGTTGAGCCCGTGGTTTCATTTCTGTGTTCTGTTATGATTGGCCTCTGGAAATAATCGGAGTGGATGTCATTTTTTGTCATATGTGTATGCCTTGTGCAACAGGTTCAAGGCTAGATGCACTTCACATTCGGCGTGGGATCTCGGCGTCTGGGACCTGATAACGTCTTGGTTGGATGGGTAATCAATGATGATACTACTCGGCACACCAATGTACATGTCAATGTAGTTTTTACCTTTTCAAAGCTGCACTATTTACGTCTTGATGCTTACTACGGTGCTAGTGTCGTGTCCGTGTGTTGCTACAATGTCATTATCTGTATTGTATTCCGTCTGCTTATACAATGTACATGTGTCTTTATGAAGTGTTTGCCGTGGCGGCGATGTGTCTTGTCGATCAATAGTGTTGTGAAACCTATCACTATTCATGCTTTGCAGGCTACTAGCTCGCTCCGCGCCGTGCACGCTACTAGGTCTTGTAGTATATAGCTCGATGCTTTGCATCGATCGCTGGTTGTTGTTCTTGTTGCCTCTCTGTTGTTTGAGCTTGGTCCTAGAGTGAAGCTTTGATCTTCTTGTGTGGTGAGGGTGAGGAATGGGTATCTGGATTCCTGGTATATTTCCGTAAAGAACCTGGAATTGTAGAATCCTGAGAGTATGTCTGGCCCACTCCCCGGTCATGACATTAGCGTGTTTCCCCCGGATTATTTCTATTATCCTGCGTGTTCTTGGGCTGAGCGAGCACATGCACGAGTGTGCAGCTATAACCCTGTGTATCTTTGGTTACACCTTGTTCTGCAATGCATGTACCTTGTAACAGTCTGTGCTTGCACTGCTTTGTGTGGCCTGCGTATTTCAGGACTATTCAGTGCATCAGACCCAGGTTGGTTTGGTTGCCGGATGATCTCTTGTTGCGTCGCTCTGTGTTTTGTATTCATCAATTTTTCGGCTTGAGAATTGAGCTGGTGTTTGGTTCCCAATATGAAAACATCATGCTGGTGCTCTGCGTTTCGATTATCGACTGTCCGAGCAGTCACGATTCATTGCCAGAACGGTCAATACTGTAGTCTCTTCACGTGTTTGTGTTTTCGCTGGGGAAATTAGCGGTGACGTTGCACATAGAACGGCAGTGTTGCATCACTGGACGACCCTGCCTCTGCATCTGACTTCATTTCCCCAGGATCTGGTGCAGATACACCAGACAGTCACTTCCTGTAAACACGCAAACAGCAAAAGAAGAGATCCCGCAAATCAGGAAAAACCATTGCGGAAAATATCGAGTAGATCATACACCATTCAATAATCTGGAGTAATTACAGTGAGACAAACACTTCAAACAGTGCTCGCTCTCTCTCCATCCTTCCAAAATACCCTGTAACAATTCCCTGGAATTAATTTATTTTATATTCTCAGGACATCATTCTGAACAACTTCTTCCATGGGTCTTCAATCACCACGGAGGGCGAGAATACAGCTAAGTCATGCAGTCTACGGGAGGTGCGGGCTGTCATGGATATAGAGGCTGATATTGTGCCAGCGTGAGGGCAGAGACAGAAAGAAGACACTGATTTCTTGAACAACTCACCTACATATAATCGAATCCACAGGGAGCGCTCGTACTTTGATCCATCAGGAGGCGAAGAATCTTCAAAGCACTCTCAAACACGGAGTTTTACAGTGGGCAGCCAATTTCACAGCCATTATGAAGGCCCTCGACGACTACAGGAGATTTGTAGAGGAAAGAACAAGGAGTACAGAGCGACAACAATCGCTTGAAGAAAAAGCAAAGAAAAACTGCTCTCTCTCCAGTCATTTAGATGCTGTTGCCCTTCACAACTGGTTCCATCCAGAGGACGCGACTTTTGTTTGTCCCCAGTGCTCTCCGTTGCTATGCGTATCGAAGGGGCCGTGACGTCACACTTAACAGCCCCATTGTGTGAGTGTATATGCAGGAGTCCGCGGTCACGTGAAGGGGGGAGTGATAATACACGTTTCAGGTGTCGGGGGATTTTCGACCATTGTCCGCTATAAGTCTATTGTAGTGAGGGTTGTCTTGTAACCTATGTCGTACTAACGAGTGTACACTTGTATTGTGGACGACTTCTCGACCTGTTCAGCGCTGGCCGGCATCGCGGTGCCACTGCGTGCGCCATGACATTGTGTGTGTGTGTGTGTGCGCGCGCGCGCGCGTGTGTGTGTGTGTGTGTGTGCCAGCTAGTTCGGTTGGTGTGTACATTTATGCCAGATAGTGCTGGGTCTATTGCCAGCGGGGTTCAGGCTACTTGAAGGTGTATTGCTGCACCTGCCACTTTTGTTGGTTTCAGGGTAAATACACATATTTCAATAGATGATATGCCAAAATAATAACGTGCAACTAGACTTGAGAGGGCATCGCACACAAGTTGCATACAAATTATACTACAATGTATACATAGTAGGCAGGAATGCAAGTCACAGGTACCCGTACAACTTTGAACTTTGTATGCAATTACTCTGCAATGCCCTCTCAAGTCTAGTTGCACGTTATTTGGCATAATTATCATCTATTAAGTATAAATACCCAATGCTGTAGGAGGCACCACAGGCATGCTCTGACTACTAAAAGTAACGGGCAACGAGTAATGCAGCAGCACTACAGCAGCCTACCGAAATTGCTCAACAAGACGAATTCCGAGGAGCGTAATACCCAATGCTCTTGCTAAAAAGAGAAGACTGAAGTATGAGCTAAATGCAGCCAGCATATTACTATCAAAGCAAGCTTAGCAATGGGGTCGGCGCGGAGAGCGAGCAGTTAGCTGTGCAAAAGGTAACAACGAGTAACGTATTGAAGTATTGCTGCTAATGCTAATGCCATGGTGCACGGAAGCAGCAAGCGGAACAGCGGACCGGCAACAAGAGAGACAGCTCTCTGGTTAGTTGTAATGGACAGTCTAGGCATTGGGGCAACAGCAAGATGTTGGCTTACAATGATCAAAAGAAAGAGCAGCAGTATACTATAGTCAGTAGCTGGACAGTTAGTGTTTGGCATGCACATGCATAGCTGCACAGCTGCACAGGATACCACGCTAGCAGTTGATGGGAGAAGGGGGGGGGGGGGGGGTGCATGCATACAAGTGAACGGGTGGCAACTAAGACTGATTTTTGATAGACTGTGGGTATTGTGGGCAAGCATTACAGACATTCTATACACACGCAAAGGGCAACATTTTTTTTGCAGGGTTTTGCTTTTTGTGGCAAACGTAGGAGAGTGGCATGCACTTGTCTGTCGAACTTCGTGCGGGTCGAGCAACCTCTGCCGAAGAACTTTACTAAGGGACTTGGGAAGCTGCTATGCTCAAATATGCACAACTGCATTAACATAGGGGAGAATTGCACGCAGGAAGCACAGAGTGGAGAGGAAAGCATTGTGAGGAGGCGTGTGTGCGCACAGGCGTGTGTGTTTGTGTTTGTGTGTGTGTGTGTGTGTGCGCGCGCGCGCGCGTGTGCCCGCCATGGACACAAGCGTCGTTGGAGAGATGTGGCAGCTTCAGACCTGCGTGCGACCGGTATCCCGGAGGCGCAATGGTACCACCTTGCTCAGGACCGGAGGGACTGGCGTGAGCGTAGCCGTCGGAAGCTACCAAGCCAGCCCCAACCAATAGTGTTCGTCTGTGTATGCGGCCACGATTTTCGCCATCCGAATGATTTATCTCGACACAAGAACTACTGCCTCGCCTAATAGCTATCATCGCCTTTGGCGATGGGCTTTCCAAAGGTCCGAAGGTGCGTGTGCATGTGTGTGTGCCACTGTGTGTGTGTGTGTGTACGTGTGTGTGTGTGTGTGTACGTGTGTGTGTGTGTGTGTGTGTGTGTGTGTGTGCCACTGTGTGTGCCACTGTGTGTGTGTATGTGTGTGCCAGTGTGTGTGTGTGTGTGTGAGCGAGCGCGCGTGCGCGTGTGTGGGTGTGGGTGTGGGTGTGGGTGTGGGTGTGAATGTGGGTGTGGGTGTGGGTGTGGGTGTGGGTGTGAGTGTGGGTGTGGGTGTGAGTGTGGGTGTGGGTGTGGGTGTGGGTGTGAGTGTGGGTGTGGGTGTGGGTGTGAGTGTGTGCATGGGTGTGAGTGTGTGTGAGTGTGCATGTGTGGGCCGATAGTCACAGACATAGTTCTGCTTGACCATGACAGAGAAGCTGGCAAATGCGAGTGTCTCGCCAAGGTGATATCGGGTACAGCTGTGCACGTCAGCGAGAAGAACCGTGGCCTAGTTTATGACATGCTTGCCCGAGGTCCTGGGGTACGGGAAGATGGACAGGAAGAGAGAAAAAAACAGGGAAAGACAGACAGAATGAGCGAGCAGGAGCGGTGCTGACGAAAAACAAGGCCGATACTGACAACATTGAGAAGGAGAAAGAAAAGAGAGAGAGAGAGAGAGAGAGAGAGAGAGAGAGAGAGAGAGAGAGAGAGAGAGAGAGAGAGAGAGAGAAAGAGAGAGAGACAGAGAGAGAGAGAGAGAGAGAGAGAGAGAGAAAGAGAGAGAGATAGAGGTAGATAGATAGATAGAGAGAGAGATAAAATGGACAATGGATTGAAGGAAAGAGTAGGAAAGCATCAGACTCAGGTTGTGTTTGTTCGGTGTCATTCCGACACCATTCCAAAGTTATTCCACCGTGTTTTGTTACCGGGACGTTTGTGTGATACACTCGGCAGAGTTTGTTCGGTGCAATTCCGATTCTTGTCGCGGAATGAATTGAGCAAACTCGATTGAAGGGGGTATTTATTCCCGTATCTACACAAAAGACGTTACTTTAGTTTAGTAACGTCTGGCGCTAGCCAGGGTCCACACAGCTTTAAAGGGGGAGTATACCCTAAAATCAAAATTAATTTTCACCAGTTGTAGTCTTCGGGGTGCTGAGTCGAATGGTCATGGTCTGAGGAAGCTGAGACGCGCCTTGTTTTGTTCCAGGGACATCTCTCGGCAAAGTAGAGCATCAAGAAGCATATTTCGATACTCGGGGTAGTTATGGGAAAAGTCCGCAAATTTATAGCCCCCTGCACCTACCAAAAACACACTACAGTCAACTTCGCTAATAACAACTGCGGATATAACGACAATTCGCGAATAACGACAGAATTTCCATGCCCAGAGCAAAGTCCCATCCCCCTGTAATACATATAATGAGACTTCGGGTATAACGACACTTCGCGAATAAGGACACCTTTTTGATGCCCCGTCGTGTGTCGTTATAAGCGAAGTTGACTGTATGTCAAGTGCTCTCGGTTTGCCCATTTGGGGTAAAATTACATAATTAGAGAGGTTCTGCGAAACGAATATTCGAACGAAGTTTCGCAACAGGCCGTGCAAAAATGTGTACGAATTTTCGCACAAACTTTGTGTCTGCACATTTTCGTAGTTTGCACGTGCCAAGTGGACGTACGCCATGACCCGATCTCGTTCTCGGGGCCTTCTATTCGGTACTCTTTGTAGTTGTACTTCTGTACTGTTGAGCTATCCGAATTCAAATAAACACTAAAAAAATATATATATATCTCATGAAATTTCCCACGAAAGTTCATTTCGCGTTCCCTAGTTCATTTCGCGTTCCCTGCAAGTTTCGCGTCCAAAGTTGCGAATCTCACTTCATGACGTAGAGCGAAAGTTTGAACGCATTTTCGTTCTGCAGAACCTCTCTATTGCTGCACCGGGGTGGCTCGAACGCACGAGGGGCATAGCCATAATATTACTACTCTAAACCTGCACAGAAGATGACAGTTTTGTGGACGAGTTGACTACGATAACAAGACTTAGTTTCACACGACGTACGTTTTGCCGTATGTTTCGTGACGGCTCATCTGGTGTCACGCGGCAAATTTAACTCGGATATTGAGTCAATAAATATAATTAAAATAGAAGAAATCACATGGAAACGAGTTATGAAGCAACTATCCACGACTGTAACAAGATGATAAGCAGTCAGAAGTGTGCTTTGCTGCTTCGAATTGTAGTAGCGCAGTGTCATGTTATTAACTGGTCCCGTCATGGTCCTGTAACAGTCGGCATTATTTGTTGCCGTGGGACCTAGCTTGTGCACATTTTCGCTGCGCTCACCTTCCCCTTATTGGTCTTACCATAACCTTGAACCTTCCAAGCTGGAGGGCTGTTGGTTTGCACACTGGCGGTGTGTGAGATCTACGTCTCAGGCCGCTGAATGTCACAGTAACATGTCTGTGATGTGCCCTGTTATCGCACTTTCGGACTGCTTATCATCTTGTTACAGTCGTGGATAGTTGCTTCATAACTCATCGAGTTCCATGTGATTTCTTCTATTTTAATTATATCAGTTTAGGGGAAGGGTGTGTTGCTCCCTACATGGGAGCTCGTGGTTTTAATTATATTTATTGGCTCAATATCCGAGTTAAACACGTCTGTCTCTCATTGCGATCAGGTTTGGCCTCATTTTCTCTGTGCCGCGCTGAGGAGTCCACAAAGGACGAAACAGCTCGGTCCGCAGATAGGGTAATTCTGTCTCTCATAATATTTTATTCGTTCTTAGTAGGAACCGGAGGTTTTTCCTCTGGTGAAAAGGCAGAATTGCCTGTGCTCTAAATGAATTCAAACAAAAGAAAGAAAGAAACAGACAAACATTCCACGCCAGTTTAAACTAGGAATCAATAGTAAGATCCTACCTGCGACCCTTCTTGATCACGAAGATGAGGATGATGAGAAGAGAAACTGGCACGACACCTACTCCAATAGCAATACCAACGATAGCTCCAGTTCCTATGCCTCCGTTTGAATCATCAGTACTGATGTCAGTAGTGGAAGAATGATTATTGGGGGACATTGTTCCATATGGCACAGTTAAGGTCACTGTTACATTTGTAAAATTTGTTTGGGATGCTGGAGTAAGCGAGTCCACGTGAAGTAGTCGTTGCGTTGTGGACAGACACGTGGATGTAGTGGTTTTGGAGCCACACGTTGGGACATTGAGGGCAACAAAATAGCAAAACAAAAATGAGGACTTCCGTACCAGAGGTCGAGCAGCAACTAGTTACTTACGACATGCTGAGTGGTGTGGTACAGACATACTGGTCGTATATAGAGTACACACCGAGCCTACCCTGAAAGACACATCTTTGCACGGCTAGTCGTATACACAGTACACACCGAGACTACCATGAAAGACACCTACATCTTTGCACGGCTAGTACACAGAGTACACACTGAGACTACCATGAAAGACATAGAATACATATGTGCACTGCCAGTCTTATACATAGTACACAATGAGCATGCCACGAAAGCCGCATGCACCTTTGCACTCTAGCACAGGCTACCGAAAGGTGTTGTTATTGATGTAATGAATGGTGTTGTTATTGATGTAATGGTGTTGTTATTGATGTTATGGTGTTGTTATTGATGTAATGGTGTTGTTATTGATGTAATGGATAGTGCTGTTATTGATGTAATGGTCAGTTCTGTACCATTATGTGCTTTGGCAACCGTGCTGTTTGCAAATTCCCCACATTCATGTCTGTGAAAAGGCGACGAGGAGACAATAACTTTATTAATGCGATTAATAGTATAAGTGAAGCGGACATTACAAAATGATGAATGAGAATACATGTATCTAAAATGGTTGTTCCTAATCGATTTTCTTGAGACTATCATCAGGGAAAATCGTCTCACAATAGAGGCTATACGGAGAAACAAACTACTTGTAGGTTATCGGATAGTGGGAAGTATACAAAGGTGAGGTGTGAAAAAACAAAAACAAACTAAAGTGGGAGAGAAGACGAAAGAAATTAGAAGAAAAGATGTGAGAGTGTTCCGACGGTGTGAGCTACTACAAAAGGTGAGTGAAATGAAGGCGTGGAAGCAGGTGAATGTGATAGAGTGAGGAGCTGTGAGGTGTAGGTGTATGCAAATGAATACGTGTGTGAATGCTAGGTGAAGAGTCTCAGTTTTGTGACATTTTCTTTCTGAATGCATAGATTAGGATTGTGTTTACGGATGAAAACAGCTTCAGGGCAGTGATGAAGGGAGTGAGTTGGACAACCAAGATGAAGATGACCAGACTGAAGGTGAGACCACAACGAAAGGGTCAGCAATTTTAAGAAACACCTCTTGTCTAGTAGCCAATGTCGCTCAGTGTATGATGATTCATGCTTCACTGTTTTGTGCCGTGCTCGTAGGTTTCGTGAACTTAAGGTATTAGAAGCACGGCCGGCGAGATGGTGTACCCCACTCACTGATAAGCTCACTGGTGACTTCTCTTCTTGAGGCATTTTGCTCTATCCTCGGTTATGATCCGGAACTTCTCCGAGGGGCAAAGTTGGCACCTCTTGCTGATGTTGTTGCAGGCTCGTGCTCGTTCCGAAATACTCCGCTGGATCAAATAGTCTTCTTGTCTCTCCTTCAATTTCCAGACATATTTGGATAGCTCGGTACTCTTCCTTCTCTTCTCGTGGTTGAATGAATACTTGCGGTTTCCGTACCAGGTCTTGAATGTTGGCTCTGTCGCTCCGAAGTATACACATGCTGGGTTAACATTACTGCTTGTCACTTCCGCTTTGTAGACCAGCTGCTGTGTCTGGCACTTTCCTCTCATCGGGCAGTCAGGCTTCACTTGGCAGTTGCATGGCAGGTCTTCCTGCTGTGGGCTGAGTAGTTTGTTGTTGTGTTCAGGTATGATGGCTGCTACATTCGGCAAGCATCTGTAGCTCACCTTCACTGAGTTCTTCTTGAAGATCTTGTGGAGCTTCGATGCTTTAGGGAAGCATCTTGCTACGAGAATCAGAAATGACCTGGCCACATTAGTTGCTGCACTTCTGCTAAACAGAGGGTTAAACCATAATTATTATCGTCCTTCTTCTTTTCATATTTCTTTCTCTTTTGGCCTTTTCTGTGTACTCCAGCATTTCGGAATAACCGCTATTAGACAGGGCGCTCCTGTATACCGGTACAGTCTCCTGGAATACATCATGGCTGGATAATATTATGTTGGACAGCCTCCTTCTGATGCCAGTGAGTAGGTTCTGGATTGCCACCGGTGGATGACTTGACAAGGCATTGAGGTACAATGGTGTATCACCCGGTTTTCTGTACGGCTTGTACTGGCTGGTCTGGTAGCAACGAATTATGTGGCAACCGGATCTGTAAACAGTTTTATAGACCACGGTTTGCCTGGGGATTTCAGATTTCCGTTTACTAACAGGGTTCACAGAGAAAGATCTGGTTGCACACAGCTGAGGAGAGGGTGCAGTCAAGAGTACATAATCCCAAGAGTGTGAAACTGCCTGCACAACCTCTATGCTGTGCTGGGACGGCAGAACTTCACATCACGTGACATGGTTCAAAAGGTTACGCTGGCAAACAGTGCAAAGTGACCACAAGAGAGTTGAGCCCAAAGCTGGGTTGCGTACAACCCTGTATCTATCATGCACAGAGTGCAAATAATGTGTACGGGTTCATCACGTGATGTGCAGTTCTGCCGTCGCAGACCCCATAGCTGGAGTTGCACACTCTTGGGGGTTATGTACTCTTGGTGCTACTATAAACAGGGTATATGTACTATCTGGACTCGTTGTGACGAGGGAGGACCTGTAAGCGGGTTACGTTGACAACACGTGAATGACACCTAAATAGAGAGGTTGTGATCATGTTCGCTAACCTTGGCAAGTCGGTAGTGTAGTCCAGGTTCCATTAGCCTGGCAAATCACTGAACTCGGCATTGAGATATTGTCGTAATCAGGCATACATATGGTGGTACCAATAGTACTCCTGGGTATCACTGTTGTCGAGTTTAACTCTGGACAATGTGTGGCTGTGCAAAGAAACAAAATACCAAAGAAGACAGATCACTGCATGCTGCGAGACAACACAGAAGACGAACTCCAAATATCAACCGAGAGATCTGTATGTTGATCCGGATTCTTATGATCGTGTCACAACTCAGATAACGTATTGAGGACTCTCTGTGAAAGTAACACACCTGAACCTGACAGTGTTCATTCGAATGGGTTCCTGGCTGAGGGCGCGTTCAGACTACCGTGAATCCCGTCAAACTGTGAATGGCGATACACCGTGAAGGATAGTCGCACTACCGATCAACTAACGTTACCGTTACGTAACTTGTGCAGCTCTGACCGCGGCACTCAGAAGGGATTTCCCCTTTTTCCCCCAGCCTGAGCACTTTTTTTACTGCAGGAATGTAGTTACCGCCGCAGCAGCCGCGGCAGTAAAACGTTTCCGCCGGTAACGTGCCAGTAACGTCACGTGATCACATCACCTTGGAAACGTTCCCATTCGGTTACTTATTATCCGCAGTCCGAACACGCCCTAAAGGCTATATATAGGCTATATGTAAAAACAAACAATAGGAGGACAGAGGAAATGTTTTTACTCAGAGTTTCACGCACTAAGCGATCATCAGAAAACAGTAATTGGAAATCTGGATCAGTATTGGTTTATATACTCACAAAGCAAAGTGTAAATAGCGGCAGTGTAAAGCGTGAATGACAGCAGTGGTGAAAGGTGACAACCACTGGAGCTGGTTGTCTCTTACTACATTAGGTGATGGCTGTAGCTGGTTTAAAGTTCCGAAGGTAGTACTTATTCTCATGGCGACACTTCGACACAAGCTCACTCCTTTTGTTGAGAGAGAGGTGCTTGGGTGCTTGCGCGATTGCCAATTTTTCTGCCAGGCACAGGTGGCACCTTTTGCTTTTGTTGCTGTAGGCCACTGCTCTGCGGTGTACCGCCCATTGAATGCTGCATGCCTTCCCTTCATCCTTTTTGGTCCAGACGTACTGCGATAGGCGGGTGTCCTTCTCGTGTTGTCTGTGGCGGAATGAGGATTGGTGGTTATAGTAGCGTTGTTTGAATGTTGTTGCTGTTAATCCAGTATATTCCTTCTTCTCCATACCTGCGGTGACTCTTGCCTTATATACGATACTCTCCGTTAGACACGCTCCGTCCAGTGGACACGAGTCTTTCGCCCGACAGTTACAAGTCCTGGTATCGTTGTCACCTCCGTTGGCTTGTTTCTTGGGTCGTAGAATCGTGTTATTGTGTTGCTTGATGATAGTAGCCATATTCTGCATGCAACTGTAGCTAACCTTTACAGAGTTCCGGTTGAAGATTTTGTTGAGGCTTGAGCCTTTGGGGAAGTGTTTGGCCACTAGCTGGAGGAAGCGATGTCCAACGTTGGTGGCAACGTTCTTGCTAAATGGTGGGTTGAACCATATGATGTTCCGAGGGCAATTCCTTTTCTTCTTCTTCTTTGTCTCTTCCGTTTTACGCTCGTCAAAAGTAGGCTATATGTATAGATTATAGACCGGTTAGGAGGTCTATACAGGATGTATAATAGACCGAGCAAAAGACCGAGGTCCCCGAGGTCTTTTACGAGATCTATACATCCTGTATAGACCAACTATGAGGTCTATAATCTATTTATCGTATTCTCCATGCAATAGTTTCTCTTCATATACGACATATCCTTGTAATTGTGGTATTATACTATAGCCTATATCGCATGCTGTATAAGTATAAATTTCCGTTTGGAATTAACTTTCGCTATATTCATTAGGAGGCACGAAATAACTAAAGTTTGTACCAACCAAACTAAATTTTTTTTTCTGAACGTTCGGGGTGACAGACCTCGACGAAAAACGAAATTTAGTACATAACAAGCCTGCTGGTGGAGTGATCTAACGAAAGATTTCGCGAACGAAAATTTGTACTTACACAGTATTATAGGCTCTACATGACAGACTGGTATTAATTCAAAGTGGTGAAGCGGTGACGGGGTGTTCAGTATCAGTATTGGACGAAAGATCTCATTCCTGGCATGCCGTGAAGCAATTGGCTTACACCACTGCACACTAAACCTTGATATCGACATCATTGCTCGCCAGCTTTCTCTTAACCACCGCAGCATGTACCATAGCATAGTTAAGAACGGAAGAATTCGGGTTACGATATATACAACAAGGCACTTACGTAGACATTCGCCATTGGTCCAGTTGAAGTTTTGTCTACAAACACAGCTTACTTTAGCCATTGTATGATAACAATTCTCCACATTAGTGTCATTGCTGCATTCCACCATGCAACCTGGAGTGGAGAAACAAAAACGGTTGTCAATATTACCATCAACCTCGTGAAGATGGGCTTCGGCTTCAGGTGACAGCCTCCATTGACATTGCCTACCCCACCAGGACTTGAACCCGGAACCTTGCTTGTGTGATGAGCAATACTCGAATCATCTGAGTCTGGGGCGTCGGACGCGGTATGGTCACTACGGTATTGACCGTACCACCTTTTGTCCCCAGGTACCCTGTGAATCAATAAAATACACTGATCTGGGCTCTAATTTTCCAAAGTCTTTGGCTCAACCACCCCACCTCCACAAGCAAAATGTACTTCAGATGGGTGACCGTACCACACTAAAATACCTTCCGACGCCCCTGGTCAGAGCTATGGGACCAGACCAAACCTACAAGGCGCTGACAAGTGTTTCACTCCGAACAGACCTCACAATCTGGTAAAATGTGAATATTTGTTCGCTTGGAATATATACTGGGCGGGATAGTCCTTCAAAATTGAGAATTCATTGAACCACTGGTGTACAGACTTACTCTCACACACTGGTGGACTTGGTCGCCACCTTCCGTTGCCCTGGCACGTAGACTGGGTTATTTCCATACTATTGTTAGACAGAAAACCTGTTCTGCACTCAATGGATATATCAGTACCTGGTTGTGTGTTGAAACTGGCAAAAGGTTTGTAATTGAAGTTATTGAACCCGCTGTCATTGAGATTTGGACATAGTGCTGGGAACATAGAGTCAACATACAAGGCAGTTACTCACAATAGATGAAAACCTCAACTATACAAATGGTGCCATGTTTCCATACAGATAGAAGCAGACAGTAGTTTAGTAATCCCATGTCCACACGTGTATACCCAGACATGAACCATTTGTTAATGTTCTGTTGAAAACTAATTATCCACAGATTTCAATAGGACAAGAATGTGTGACATTTGATGGAAGTTGGGAAAAGAACAACGACCATTGTCGGCTTGACAGGAAAACAACAATTGTTGGACTGGTAGAGCGTACGTTAATATACTGGAAAGCATGAACGTTTTCCAAGAAGTGCATACGGCTGTTCTTGCCTACATGCCATGAAGAGATCAACATCAGTGCAGTTATAGGTAAGTGCATGGCTGGGAGGGCATTATGGTTTAATTGTTAGGTTATCCCGCCAGGCTAGGCCAAAGGCCGTAGAATGTGATGGAAGGTGAGGATGCCGAACGGCTGCATTACCAACCACAGCGGCAAAAATAGCAGCTGGTGCAGTGCCAGAGGTCACCCCCACTAGTCTGTCTTCAGTCTATCCTTGGGTGAATCATCCTTGGCCACGCACATATGCGGCACAGGTGATGTTAACGTTCTCAGTATGGTCATACATTTGCCAATTATTGTTCACATTTAGAAATCATTTCCAATGCCACTCTCCATCTTGTAGTTGTCTGGCTCTGTACCGACAACACAACACCTGTGCACATCAGTGCTTTGCATTGTGACTTGCATGCATGCCTGACCAGTACACTGGACTTCATATTCAACTATTATCCAAACACTACCCTTGAAGTGTGATCACCGGTTACTTGAGGAATGAGATGTAGCTCATCAGAGGCATAGCTCTACCATCTGTGGTGTGATGACAGTCAGTGTACCAGAGCATGTCTGTGACTCTGTGGTGACAGTCAGTGTACCAGAACATGTCTGTGACTCTGTGGTGTGGTGATAGTGTACCAGAGCATGTCCGTGACTCTGTGGTGACAGTGTACCAGAGCATGTCTGTAACTCTGTGGTGTGGTGACCATGCACCACTGGCAACGTCATAGCCTGCACGTAAACTCTCTACGATCTCTTCGCCAGCCATTGGTGAGGCAAACGTTCGCTCAAATTCCTGAACGTCTTGAAGTGCAAGAATGGGCTGTCGACTGCAGTCCACAGTGGCAGTGAGAGGTTTAATACATAATATTATAGTCGATTCATTGGAAACTGGCACCCTAGCTTTTTGTTGTCTCCCGCATATACATGTAGTTGTGGATATCGTGAAAACAACAGTACATCCTGCATTGTGTGACCCGTGCAATTACTCCTTGCCACATGTGAGGCCAGAAAAGTCCAAGAACAGAGAAATATAAATTCAGCCAGGTTTTACAAAATTAGGACAGGTATGCAATGGCAAAATGTATGGAGAAGCAGATCCCCAAACCCAGATTTTTGAGATTTAAAGTGGGTTTTTGATCCTCAATTTGGCCCAAACCGGACTTTCGAAAGCCAGCGGGACTGTTTTCGATGAATTATCCGGGACTGTATAGCTGTCATTGCCCACATCCCATGTGTTAGTGGCTAAAAACAAGTAATTCTGAACAAATACCAACCTTGAATGGTGATAGAGACAGTGGTAGATATTGGCTGGGAGGCATTCACACATCTGTCAATCACACTTTGTGGACGCGCAGTACTTGAACTATTACAATCAAAGTTTGTAGTATATGATGTCGTACAGGTGACATTGAAGGTAACACCCGATGTATCACTTTCTATAAACACAATCTGGGAATCATTCTGTTGGAAGCTGAATGTGGAATTCACCATATTGGCAAGCATAGTTGTCTCTATCATCTGTGACTCCAGAGTCAATGTTGAGTTCCAAGATGCGCTGAGAGGAAAGTTTCCACTTGCCTTGAATGATATGGTGTGAGTAGCACCAGTGTAGTTCAGTTTCAGTGGTGTAGGAGATGGTTCTGACTGAACTTGTTCAGCTGTACAAGAAGGACACATGGATACAGGAATGCAATGCATGATAAGACTGACCAGGCAACTTAAGTCTGTAATCAGTATAATGCATCGGAAAAGACTAAATTCAGAACAGGGCGTGCACTGGCGATGGGCATTCTTCTAGCATGAAGGAATGTTTGCAGAATTGGATCCAGTATAAGTTTAGTGCCGTTGACAATGAAATTTGAAAGGTAGAATTTATCAGGGTGGCATTCTGTGGGTTACAGATGCGCATGCAATGCTCTTCTCGTCACAATGCAACATCGGTCCTCTTTCTCCCCAGGGTATATTCCTGCGCCTCGCCCTGTACCATGGTCTTGAATCTGTGGTCTGGTTAACGTAGTTTGTTCTGAATTCTCCTCTCCAACTTTATTTTGCTGCTCCGTGAGTGGGCGTGGGTGAAAACAGTCGTCCCAGGGCATTCACTGGAGGGTGGGCGGGGGAATTGGTAGCCAGAGGTGCCTCCATGCCTCACGTGTCTTCTGTGGTAACGACATACAGGGCATTGTTTACAGGTGCTCACACGGCCTGCCTGGTTCAGGGTTCTAACCAGGAAAAAATTGTAGGGGCCAGGGGAGGAGGGGGGGGGGGGGGGATAAGGGATACAGAGTTCACCCGGTTTTTTGCATCACCGTCACTAATCAATTGTCCAAGTTCCACTATTGCCTTGTCACATGCACAGATCACCCGGAACGATTGCGTTGTTGCCGCATTTTTCAGTATATGAACTGAAAAAACACAGAAATCAAAGATAGAAAGAGTAGATTGGCGTCCTGTCAGAGTGGAGTGGGTGCCATCCGATTAAGGTATGTTTGTGTGTGTGTGGGGGGACGGGGAGGGGGGGATGTTTCCCCCTCCCCCACCCCCTAGAACTCTGGTCAAGCCCATGTGCTGGTCGATCGAGCTAGCTGTTCCGATGCACGGTGCACGTGTGCCTGGTAAACTCGGATGCAGATGGATACGTCGTACAGAAGGAGAATGCCAAAGTGGGAGAAACCCGCTTGCAGCTACACTGCCAAATCACAGCAGCTTAGCTTTCATCTTTTGACTTCTACCACGACGATCTTAGTTTTATTTTGTGAGACCGAAGGTTCGTCGTTATTTTGAAATTTTCGAGTGGGGAACAAGACGATATTAATGAGTGTGTGTGCAGAAAACAGTACACCTTCGGCCGGCGATAACAACACTAGCCCGAGCTCCGAATGAACGTAGTTACATGAAAGTTATTAATCAGATGACAATGCTGCTGAAGACGCCGATGACGAGCTCTGACGTCTTTTATTTCAAGCCTAGTTCACATTCGACGCAACGCCGACGGTACGGGACGTAAGGGCTTGTCGGGAGGGCTGGGGTGAGCTGTAAAATCCTGTACGATTCGTACGACATGACATGCAGCAGTCGTTGCGACGTTCACCGTCGAACGGCGCGAGTCATAAGGCACGGTCCGTGACGGGGTGACTTTTGGACCTAATTCTCGTTTTTCGGGACTTCTTTTCAATTATTTCTCCTTGAAAGAAGCGGAATCAAGTTCACAATACCAGTTTTTCGTGAAGACCAAAAAATTAGCCCTGAAAGTTGTGGCATTCAAATAATAGCCCCAGGAAATGATAGAATAGTTCGTCTGTCACGCTTCTGAACTATCCCTAAATACAATAAGTGACATGAGATCTTGTGTTGCTAAAATTCAACTCAAGTCGTGCTAGCCATTCTGTGAGTTATCATGGGAAGCGCAGTGTTCGAAATGCTAAAAATTTCCAAGTACGAATCGGGAGCAGTCAGCGCACGACGCCGTCTCCTGTTCACACTCGAATTGCAGCCGTTTTGTACGCTTGCGTCCCCGTCTACGCCCGTCTATGGTATGAAAAGTTGGTTCGATCCAACTCTTCCCGTCGCTTCCCGATCTGTACGGTAGTACGGTTGCGTTCCCGTTCCTGGTGTTCACATTGGACGCCGTCAGACCGTCCCGTCGCTTCCCGTCGATCCTTACGTCGCGTCCCGTCGCGCCCCGTCGAATGTAAACTAGGCTTAAGAGCCGTGTGTGCAACACCGCAACCTTTGAAACAATGAAATAATTTGCGGGTACGAGGTATGTGTGTCACACTAACACCAAACAAACCTCCTTCCACTCCTTCCTAATCACAAAACAGAGCTGGAGCGTAGCGGACGAAGTACCGGACGACAAAAACTGTTGACTTTTTTGTTTTCTCCCTTTTTGGCGTTCTCAGTGTGTACGGCGTACTCATCTGTGTCCAAGTTCACAAAGCACACGTGCATCCCCCGTATATCGGAATACAGTAGTTGGTTCGAACGACCAGCGCACGGGCTGGACTTTGTTTTTGACTACAAATGTACGCGTAGAGGTCAAGTCTGGCTTGACGTCACTAAATACTTTGGGAAAATTTGGGCACCTTCTGTTTAGGTTTTCACCCACTTCCAGTCATCGCAGAGAAAAAAAGAAGTACACAATCATGATCAGGAGCCAAAGAACTACAAGATAAGACAAAGGTTTTTTGGATACAGCTCCCCTCTGATATACTCCTGGTGTCTTAGTGCAACCAAGACAAGACTATCGCAAATCGTTTCTTACACCGCTTGCATCAGGAAGAGTCTTTCTTTTGCTCTGGTGCCTCGTAGTAAACCACTGCTCTCTTTTCTTCACCTTGCGTACATCAGTAGCCATACTGTATGGTTTAGAGCCAAAGCTGGACATTTTTCCACAGTACGAAAGAAACCTGTTTGTACTTACCTACAATGTTCAGTTGGTATGTCTGTGTAGAGTTGCAAGTAGCTGTTCTACAATGGTACAGGCCAGTGTATGAAGTGTCCAGTATAGGATGTTCTCCTTTGTTCACCTTTACGATATCATCTCCTGAGAAGGCACCTGTCTCAGCCCACACTAGACTACCATCAGTCTTCTCTAGTCGAATGAATGATCCCATTCCACTGAGCACAACACATCCAGGTAAGTAACTGGTAACATCGGCTGTAGGTTGTCCATCACCAAATGTCACCGTGAATGGTGCTAACTGTCCTGTACCAGCAGCATTTAGACTGACAGGTTGACCTGCATGGACATACACAGGAGCACAGTGTCACAATTCTAACTCAATACCCAAATCACTAGTGACAATGACCTGTCAATACTATGACCTGTCAATACTATCACAATGCTAACTCAATACCCAAAGGACTAGTGACAATGACCAGACAATATTATCACAATGCTAACTCAATACCAGCGTCGATGGCCTGTCCACCATCTTATTGGCCTCTCTGTCCGTGTTAGTAGAGCTAACTTTGAACAGCCACACGAGCAATTCTCTCCAAGACGCCAACCTAGCATGGCTCACCTTGACCGTAGGGTAACGTCTGCAGCTCTCACACACATCCTTGACCCCTCGGATGTATCCGGCGGTTATACTCTAAATGCAGCGGCAAGCCACTGGCAACAACGTGTCATGACAGCACTAGATGATCTTGCACCATTCGTCACCCAGAAGCGCGCAGCTTACTCCAAACCCCGCCCCAGCCCTGGGTCACCCCAGAGCTGAAACAGATGTTTCATCGACGAATCTCAGCCCATCGCGCCTTCATAAAGCACCCCATGGATGACCGCCTCCGACAGCAGTATCGTGCAATACGTCGTCAAGGAACTTTACTAAACCGCAAACTGAAAAGTGTGTACTACAAAGATAAGTTCAGTGCCGCTACAGGAAATCCTAGACTGCAATGGGCAGTGCTGAATCAACTAACTGGAAGGAGAAAATCCCACCCCACACCGAAAGCCTCCCTCTCATCTTTGTCAGATACCCTAGGCAATATTGTCCACGATGAACACCGCACTGCTCTTACGACCCCAGACACTCCGGCGGACGACTGTTTAGACAACTGCCCAGGCGCGTCGCACCGACTTTGGAGGTGGGGTGGCCATGGAAGGGGGGGGGGGGGTGCGGGGTCCTCCCCGGGAAAAAAATTCAAAAATTGAAGCCAATTGCAAGCATTTCCGGGCATTTTGTGCTATTTCAGTGTACGGTAACTACAATCACCATCTGGCGGTGCATCCACACCCGCACCAGCCCTGTGCTTGCCCAGCTTCTGACCCAGGCACAAGGCACCCCTCAGTCCAAACACCATTAGCAACATTTGGTTTCATGTATAGTATCTTGTTCCTTGAACGTTTTCGTGGCCATCTCATCAGAAGGATTACTGGCAAATCAAAATTAATATAATTATATACGCACAATGCAAGTAATGATTTAGACCCTATCTAGCGCGAGAAATAAGAGTTGAAAGAAATATTACATCAATCAACGATATCAGGTGACAACAGATGAGATAAATTCACCACTAGAAAGTAACCATGCAACCAAAAACGAGAACTACTGATCTAAATTCACAAACAATTTCAACGTAAACAAATTCTTTTTCTGCCTACACAAGATCGGTTTGGTGGTAAAGATGTAGATAGACTCCAACACACGCAAATACCTTTGACTACGTGAACGAGACCAAACGGAAAAGCAATCATCAGTATAACTAGAACGACAATCACTATTCTGAACAAGATGGTTGGCAACAGAAGATTCATACACCCTAACAACACTACTAGACCCAGTACATACTTTGGAATTGACAATGAAACCGACCTGACATTCCTTGCCGCTACTGTCATTCCAGACGAGGCTGATGTAGATGCTAATACTGAAGACACGTCCGTTAATGCCGTCACCAAAGGGAGCATCATCGCAGCAGGCAGTGCCATTAACGGGCGTGTCTTCGGTATTAACATCCCGGCCGGTGCGGTTCCGACGCCCTTGCTGCCTTCTCGAGTTCCAACCCGTTACAACAGCAGCAGTAACGAAGATTCTCGAACGATTGAATACCACGAAAGCATCTGGATTAGACGGCATACCAGCTTACATCTTGAAACACCATGCCGCCGAGCTGGCCAATTCCTTAACTCTCATCTTCAACCAGTCATTGTCTAGCGGAAAGGTACAGTCAGCCTACAAACTAGCGTCTGTGTGTCCAGTGTTTAAAAAAGGCGACCCCTACGACAGTTCCAACTATCGCCCAGTCTCGCTACTGCCCATTATCTCCAAAGTCTTGGAATCGCTAGTGTTCCAGCAGCTTCACGACCATCTGGACAACACACCCGGAGCAATTCCAAATGAACAGTTTGCATACAGGCGGAACCACAGTACTGAGTACCTTTTACCACTTGCCATCAATAACTGGCAGAGAAGCATGGATACCGGAGACTCTACGGCCGTACTGCTGCTCGATATGAGCAAAGCCTTTGACTGCGTCCACCACCAAACGCTAATAGATGACCTTCACAATCTGAAGATCCGTGGAAATGCTCTTGAGTGGTTCAAGTCGTATCTGTCTCACCGACAGCAACGCTTACAAGTGAACGGAACCACAAATGACTGTAGAACCTGCACTAGGGGCGTTCCCCAGGGTTCCGTCCTAGGCCCTACCCTCTTAAGCATCTACACTCGACTTGTCCCCACGCTGCCATTGCTTTCCCAATGCCTTCTTTATACAGACGACAGCACCCTGTATGCCTCTGGAAAGTGTCCACGAATTCTCATGTCTTACTTAGAAGAAGAGTTTTCAGTTTTTCAGTTTCAGCTCCTGAACTCCAGCAAGAGCCAAGTACTACTGATCCACAGCAGGCGCTCACATCCTCCACCTAACCTGAGCATTGTCTGTGGTTCGACTGTTATTGCCCCGTCTGACGAAGTTAACCCTTTAAGAGCCGCCCCATACTTGAATGCGTCGTAAACGACGCATTCAAATGCAAAACTTCAAAAGATCGTAACTCAGTCCAATCTCGCTCAAATCCAGTGATCGAAGTATCCAGGGCAAAGAGAAAAGCTCTCACCTGTCGGGAGAAACAATCCGCGAAGCGCTGCGAGCAACGGTTCCTGAGATAAATCACTCGTAAGTTGAGCCGCGATCGCGGCAATTTCAAAACCGCGCAGTGCGACTTTAGTATTGAGAATTTTGAGACTTTCGTCACGCAGGTTTACTCGAATTTGCACGGGTTTCACTGTTGATATTGTCAAGAGTACACAGCGAAAAAATTGGAACTCCACGATCGAGTAAAATGAAATATCTGGAGAGGGACGCAATTGGGGCATTTTTCGTACTGTCGCTGCGATCTAGCGCTAGATAGGCGGTGTGCTGGCTATCATGATCGACCTCATTCTCTTCCTCTCGCGGAGACCGTTCCAGGACGCCCTAGATTGCGAGGATTGAGTGAGTAGAACTGAAGCTATGATCCAAGGAACACGAAAAAATGCAGAATTTTGAAATATTCCTGTGGCTCTTAAAGGGTTAAGTATCTTGGACTGACTCTCGATTCCACTTCAAGTTTCAGTGCCCACGTTAACTCCCTCAGGGAAGACATCAGAAAGAAACTAGGTGCTTTTCGACGTGGAAGAAGGAACCTTGCTGTCCAGGCCAGAAGGCAGTTCTACTTGTCAGTAGTCCAGAGCAAGCTCGAGTACGCCAGCACTGCCTACGTCCACTGCCTCGCTGACAACGTGAGAGATCAGCTGCTACGCATAAGTAAGAGAGCACTTAGATGCACATTTGAGCATGACACCTTCACGCGGACATCATACTTGCTTCTGTAAGAAGACCTTAGGGTCTGTTGGGAATGCCCAAGTATAATAGTAAAATACAATCCAAAAAATAATACCTCACTAGTAACAATGATCTAGCAAAGGTAGTAAACTGTCACATTTTGCATTTGCCTTGACACAAACACCAGAAAAGCAAACAACATTGATATCCAACACACATGGAAATAATGACATTGGCAAACCCAAATTCATCCACCATATTTATATCTTACCATCGCAGGCAATCAGCAACAGGGGACTGAAGAGAAGCAAGCAGCCAATCAGGACACCTTCACAGTGGGACACGCAAAGAGAAAATGAGAACAGAGATCAATTTACTTTGCTTGCTTTGCACAGCAGTCACTTCTACACAATTTCACAGTCGACTAGCGACTCCCAGTACATGTATTGATTAGAAGTTTTGCTTTCAAACAAGCATTTTATAACCGTTTTTTTCGTTACGATCATCAGTGAACGTACGTAGGTATGGATTGAATACTAAATCAAACACTATTATAGGGAACAGAAAGAAGTGCAAAAAACGAAATAGAGAACAAAGCAACTAGAATAGCACTAAAATGAGCAAGGAAGTGAGAAACACAGCAGTGGCGAGCGAACATTACACCAGGCTCCCGGGGACAAACATGCAATTACAAGTAGAAAGACGCAAAGTCGCGTGAAACTATCACAGGAACCTTGAGCAGGGTAACACTTTCTACACTTTATGTACAGCTTTCACATTCACATTTCTCTCCCATGTTCATTACCATTGTAATTTAGAAAAGCGATCCTGTCAGCTTTTCTATTATTGTGTTCACATGGCAGAAAAACGACATCGCTATGCTACGTAAGTTTCTACGTAAGGTGCTCGGTATTTCACTTAGGCTACGTAAGTCTCTACGTAAGGTGCTCGGTATTAGATCTACCAACGCGTGGTAGCCGTGTGCTGTGCACGTGCACGGCAGACATTGTGTTCAGTGCATGCAGTCCGCGGCTCCGTGTTCGGATGTGCATGCGCGAGGAACTACTTCCTTCTTTGGAACTGCTTCTTGCATGAGCTGTTTCGGATATTTCGCCTGGCTTATTTCGTTTCGGCGCTGCTGAGACCTCCTTTCGCGGAATATTACTCAATGACAGGTGAGTTGACCAGTTGCCTTTGATTCATTTGCTTGTGTTGACTCTTTCATTCAGGAAAAGTGTGCTGATTTTGGGGCGGAATGCAATAAAATTAATAATGGAAAAGTTGACAGGATCTCTTTTCTAAATAATTTTGCTTTTCTGCTGCCGAGCTGCGAGGCGTCCTTTTACGGAATACTCGATGACAGGTGATCTCTAAGTAACTGAGTTGACCGGTTTCCTTCGATTCATTTGCTTATGTTCACCCTTTCATTTACGGAAACGTGTGTTGATTTTATTCGGATTTAGATCCATTTTTATCTCTTTGCCTTTGTCTACAGTGTGCGAAGAACGCGAGTTCACCTTCTTGACGGTAAGGCTTATGTTAGATGTGTTGTCGAAATACTCATATTCATTGTACATTGGTACGTTACAAGTAAGGCACTGGTCAGTGGCATACTATCGTTGGCAGTTCCCAATCTGGAGGGAAAGTTTCAAGTACCAATTGACCGAGTTTGCAAAATAAATTCGCATATCAGTGGAAATCTCTATTGTGGAGAGGTTCAGTAACTTGTTTGTTTCATACGAAACAATCCAATGGGTGCAGTCTCGTCTCGTGAAAATCTCGTACTTGTATGATTGGATTTGTTTACTCGAGTCTGGGCTGTTTGATTTGTGACTAGCGCCGAGATTGCACTGCCACAAATAAAGTTCCGTGCCGCCAAAGCAAGAATTACGATCTGCAATCTGTTTGTAGTACCTGTAAGAATGTGGAGTACATGTATCGTACTTTCTCTGTTGCTATTTCAGTTGCCGTCATGTTGCTAAAGAAAGGTTCAGTAGAGAGGTTCTACAAAACGAAAATTCGAACGAAGTTTCGCGACAGTCCTTGCGAAAGTGTGTACGAATTTTTGCACGAACTTTGCGTTCTGCACATTTTCGTACTTCAGTAGTTTGCGCGGGCCAAGTGCACGTAAGCCATGATCCGATCTCACGAAATTTCCTACGACAGTTCATTTCGCGTTCCCTGCAAGTTTCGCGTCCAAAAGTGCGAAGTTTCGCACTTCATGATGTAGAGCAAAAGTTTGTACGCATTTTCGTTTTGCAGAATCTCTCTAGTGACTCAATTGTTTCATACGAGACGAGTCAATAAGTCGGTGTGGCTTAGAATCTTTCGCTGTAGAAGAAATCTATTCGTATGTCTATTGGAGAAATAATTGTATTCACTGGTTATAAAATAGGTTAAGACAAACTCACAGAATATATACCATCGGTCCCTTGGTGTTCCTCCTAAAGAGGTTCGACTGGATATCATTCATACTCACCAAAAGATGTGTAAGATTTTATTATTGTGGAGTGCCTTGTTTATCTCTCAGTACCTCCAACCATAGCCTTGCCCCTTTTATCCTCGGGATCAGTGTAGTTGTTGGAACGAGGTTTTGGACTCAGCAATGTATTCGTTTACATTTTAATTCATGTTTATTGTTCCTCCTTTGCTGTGTTGTTTTATAAAATCGTGGCCTAACAGTTTGAAGTCATTGAACTACTTCCAAAAGTTGTATCGGCATCAACAGGATTACCATTTCAGTGCAATATGATGCAGGATGACCTTATCACGATAAGCCATGATTATAAACCATTATAAACACAGAATCAACAAAAACATCTGCGACACGCACCTGGCTACATTTCTCAAATAAATCTGATCGAGGGTGGGGAAATCTGAAATATCTGAAAGGCAAGACAATTTTATGACAGAGTCATGAAATTCTGCAACAGCAAGTTGCAACATGCACAGAATGACCTCCGTATAAAAAAAGTATCAAGACCACCAGACCACGACTCACATGTTTCCCCGCCGAAGAACATGCATTATGCTAGTGCCATTTTCTGCAAGAAAAGGCTTGCACATCATGCGTATAATACGGTATTGATGTGAAGGCCATCATTTACATATTGATATAGGGCATTCCATTGATTGGTGACAGAAAAAACAAAAGGAATTATAGCAATAAAAACTGCTTTATGGCAGTTTTCTAAAAAAAGTTATTGTGTTCTAGTCCATGGACCCCGTCTAAAAAGTAAGAAATTAACGAAATGTGATAGCCGAAAATTAAAATTTCACACAAAACCTCACAATAATCACACACAGAATGAAAAGCCACATGTACCGTAGAAGACCTTTTCTCCTCGTGATCCTCTTTCCTATGCATGCATGTTGCCAATTGTTGGTGCAGTACAAGTTTAGTGTTGAAAGCAGCATTTCAAGTGTTGTGATTATTGTGAGGTTTTGTGTGAAATTTTAATTTTCGGCTATCACATTTCGTTAATTTCTTACTTTTTAGACGGGGTCCATGGACTAGAACACAATAACTTTTTTTAGAAAACTGCCATAAAGCAGTTTTTATTGCTATAATTAATCATGGTTACTGCATGGTTAGTACTCGTGATTGCCATACTAATGTTTTGCTTTTTTGCTGCTATTTTCCCTCAGCAATACAAGCAAGCAAGCAAAGATAAATGAGAGCCCAGACAGCGAAAACAAAGCAAAGAGAGATGAGGCCATAGGCAGCGAAAACAGTTCCAAAGCGTAGCCAGGGATTGTATGCGTGCATATCGGTCCGACTAGCTAGTGCAGCCGTGGACAAGACAGCTTCATCATACGCACATTTCACCATCAAGCACACCATAAGCACAGGCAAAATCTGACTTCGTGTTGCCACAGTTCTCGAATGACGATGAAGATACTGATATGAAAAGAAAGGAAATGATATTATAGACAAGGCACAAAGAGAAGACGGAAACAAATCAATGAGGGAGAAATACAAGTAACTGAATTTTGGTAAAAAGAAGATGACTGCATGTAACTGTCCACCAAGGCAACAACCCTCGCAGGGATGCGACATTTATTTCGAACAGTTTCTCGGCGATCTATTCTGTGATCTTGATTCGTCGCCTGCCACATCGTGAACGACTGCGAGAGAGATCAGCAAACTGGACGGAGCGATGCTGGTGCTGCACAAGTTTCTGGATGACGCGTTTGCTGAAGTTCTGCCAAGGAAACATTGACGGCAGCAATTTCAATCCGCCAGGAGGCAATCAAGAACAATCGCCCAGGAGTCTCTGGTACTCCGTGACTAATCTCCATCACTTTGGGGTTTTGATATCAGCACCAGGCCTCCTCCGTGTAGCATGCGAAGCAAAAGGAGTCCTCTGATGACGAAATCTGGACGTGAAATGCTCGAGTTGACTAGGGTTTTAGATGTTGCCTCCTTTGCAGTTTGAGCCATTTCTGCTGTAACTTCACAAACCGGCAACTGAAGGACAGTGTTAGGTAGCTGGAAAGTTTCTTCCGTCCTGAAAGTATTTGAATTTGGTTGGTAGACGCTCGAAGCGAAGTACACATTATAAGAAGTCGGACCAAGTACTAATTCATGTACCTTTCTGGGAGTTAGAATGTTGAGGTAAAACAAAGCATTGCGATCGAGGGCTCGTGGGCTTTCAAGCCCTCTCGTCCGTAATCGAATCTTTATAGGGATATGATAACCTTCTTGGGTATGATAACCGACAGAACAAATCTGTAATAGTTTCACCTCTAGTTTCAATGCAGCACTAACCCAAGCAAAGTCCTGGAGAGGCCATGGCAGTCCCACAGTCTATGAGCAAAATCTTGCACAATTCCCGAAGAATGTCCTTTCCTGCATGTAGAGCCAAAGCCGGCACACATACACAAATACAATCACACACATTCCCCACACACATGCACGCACGTATGCAAACATACGTATCCATGGATGCACTCGCGCAGACACGCACACAAATAGAGTCTTTCCGCGTTGCGACCCATTGGCCGAGTCGCAGGACATTGCATGTTGCACCAGTTGTTGGGATCCAGCACTCAACGTGCCCAACTAAATGCAGCCAGACATCCTTTCAGGTGTTCCCATTCATGCACGCGTGTCCTCATGTCTGCACATGTGCATGTCCGTGTGTGTGTGTGCATGTCCGTGTGTGTGTGTGTGTGTGAATCACGGGTTCATGATGCAATAGCCTGTGGCTGGAGTATGTGAACACTGTATGGATACTTGCTAGCTGGCAGCTGCACTACGCTTATCAATTGCACAGAACCATTGCACTAATCTGCCGCGCACCTTCAAAAGCACAAACTGGAGTCTATTCTTAAAAAGAAGTTTTCTCTGCAATCCCCTAAGGAATCCTCTTCCAATTATGTTTCTGAAGTCTATTTGTCCAAAGAGCAAGTTTTAACAAGAAAAGGATTTCAGCCAGATTTTGCCCCAAAAGCACTGAATTGGGAAAAAACCATCAAAACCCGGGCCGTTTGACCCCGCCGGCAACAGTGCATTGTGCGGTTCGAACCCCAGTTCATGTACCGTTTTTGAACCCTTTTTCAAATTTCAAATTTCACAGCACTGCACTGTGTACGATAAAATCACGAAAAATCGCCAAATACGGGAGCTCGCCAGAGCCAGGGACCATCTTTTTATGAGTGGACTGTCGTACTTCTGCAGTAGGCAGGGAAAGTAGCAGCCCCTTCTACAAGTATCATTTTGGCCAGGGCCTGCGGGTCGAGCGATCCTGCAGTTCATCGGCGCAGTCCTTTGGTACCAGATCTTGCCTGATCTCAGGCCACCTTCAGTTCCGTGTCCTGCTGAAAGAGCATCATGGCTCCGTTTTAGACATGCTACTTCAGTAGTGTGTTTCGGTGGTATAGCGGATTTGGGTCTTTTCCCCTCCCCCAGGGGATCCTTTGAATTTGAAGTTCTCCCAATCCTTTCAAAATTAATCACTTTCTTTCACTTCTGGCAGTACGTTCTAGAAGATGACCATGGTTGGGCCCCTGGGGGAGGGAAAAGACCCAAGTGCCGTCAGTATGTGTGGCACGTGTTATGAGCTGCCTTTCCAGTGAAAAACTTGTCAGCGCCTTCTAGGTTCAGCCTGGTCCCATAGCTCAGTGGTTAGAGCAATGCTCATGACAAGCAAGGTCCCGGGTTTGAGTCCTGGTGGGTCTGGCGTTTTTTTCTCTGGTCACTTCCCCGACTGATCCTTTGAATTTGAAGTTCTCCCAATCCTTTCAAAATGTGTGAAGTGTGAGGGATATAGTGAGGGCTGTGTCCCACCCGCCTGTGCGATTCACAGGAAGCGTGAGTAACGAAGTCAGGAAAAAATGTTGACCGGTCTCTGCTGGGATGATGACTACACCATAGCTCAGTGGTTAGAGCATCGCTGGCCACAAGCGAGGGTCCCTGGTTCGAGTCCGTGTGGTGACAGTCAATTTTGTCTTCAGACTTTTCCCGTTTGCGTCTTTCCCTCAAACCAGTGAATAATAGCAATGATCTATATTTCAGGATTACCCGAAGGCTAACGCTTCTTGTGGGGGATCTCCTATTTGTGTATATACATTTGTTTTACACAATGACCCTAGACGCATCCTATGGTACATACTACTCTGACATAGCATCACTCTGTGTGACAATGTGTGCATTTTACCTACAAATTGATTATACTGTAAGATCCGATATTTTAACGTCAATTAAAGTTAACGAACTCCGGATTTTTGAGGGTTAGCTAGGTGGAATTCTAACGAATCCTGTTTCAAAACCGACAAATGACTGAACAGGTACATATCGTTTTGCACATAACGACTTCAAATGTTGACGACTCTTTCAAATTCGTTAACTCGTTAGAATTAAATGTTCGTTTACAGGTCTTACAGTATTCTGAATGAAGTCGAAGACATCACTGCAGCTGTACTTATGGTTGATAAATATGGTGGTAAAGACACACCTGGCAATATGGCGGTAAATACACGCCTGCCCACACACGCTCTCTAGGCTGCAAAGTTCTGGCACAGAAGGACAGCTCTGTGCCAGAACTTTGCAGCCTAGAGAGCGCGTGTGGGCAGGCGTGTATTTACCGCCATATTGCCAGGTGCGTCTTTACCACCATATTTATCAACCATAAGTACAGCTGTAGTGATGTCCTCAACTTCATCTTCCCGAGTCAACCTCCGTATGAAGACATCCAAGAAGAAGATTGCCTGATGGGTCCAGCGGGGACGAAACGTACGTCGCAATCGAGCTATGTCGCTGCTGTGTCATCTTCTATGTGTCATGCGCTACTTGATGTACCAGCCTGCTATGTCGGATACTGCCAACCATGCATCGACTACGCGCCAGGCGCGAACTGATGGTGGTGGTGGTGGTGAGAAGGAGAGCTCTGTGCCAGAACTTTGCAGCCTAGAGAGCGTGTGTGGGCAGGCGTGTATGTACCGCCATATTGCCAGGTGTGTCTTTACCACCATATTTATCACACAAATTACAGTACTATGGGTACTTGTTTGAACAATAAAAGACTGTCCGGATGTTTAGAAGTTTTCCCCCCGTCATTTTGGCGTTCGAATTATCAGAATTCCACATGTTCATTCTACACACAATAACTGAATGACCTCGCGCAAAAATGAACGACCGTACTCAGGGGTAAACTAAACCAAAACAATCAGGCTGCGTTTACACAACAACGCACGGCCAATTTTCCGTTTTCAGCCCCGCATTTCCTCTTTCGCTTTCGTGCGTTTACATGATCAAAGCTGATCCGAGGTGGTCTCTGTTTGTGTCGTTTTCGAGCCTTCTACACGGGAGCAAAGGATCCGCAAAAGTTCGTCATGTGCGAAGTGTTGTCATCGAAGCACCAATCACACTCAAGGAATAGTTGAAAACAGGCCACAAAACAACACTCGTCACATGACGAAAATTGTAAAAACAATTTTTTGGATTGCCGGATCCGTGTGAACGGCCGAAAACGGAACAAACGTGACGGAAAACGAGGCCAGCATACCATTTCGACTGTTTACACACCCACATTTATCCGGCAGAACATTTCCGTTTTCAAATTCTTCCACCTTGGCCAGCGTTTTGGTTTTCTTCCGTGTTGGTCTACAACTTTTACGCTTTGCTCTTCGTACCGTGTAAATGAACCATGCATCCGAAAGGATTTTCTTGCGTTTTCACCCCCAGCATTGTCGTGTAAACGCAGCCTCAGTCCAACATCGGTTCGTGCTAACGCCACGCTAACTGAAGTCTCAACTGAACTAACCGACGTATATCGCTCTCGCTTACCCTGACTCGAGGTGTGCGTCGCAGATCTGGGAAGATAGCAAATCCCTTTCACGCCGCCCTGAACTTGCTCAAGCTGAAGGGGCAATGAGCGTACCCCAGGAAGAAGTACGGCCAGGAATCAACTGCAGCAGAACTTTCCCGGAAAGCGAGACAAATGTCGTCTCGCCAGAATACACTGAGCCTACGCCGGCAACTGAGTTCATGAAGCACAAAATATTGTGTTTCGTCTTTCGTGAGACGCAACCAGCACACACACGTTGCCTATGCCATGGCTGACCATTGCCGTTGGGCGTCCCAGGCATACTAGCACTAGTACTAGTAGTAGGAGTCACGGAGCCGTCCGTCTAGTCGATGCAGCAGCATGCAAGTGCAGGAAAGCAGTCGCCCAAACTAAGTATGGCAGTCACAGAACTCGTCAAAATGAGACAACTAATTAATTACTTTTGAGTTCTGCCGCACGCGACTAGCCTGTCGACATGTCGCGAGACTCCTCATGATCGCTCGAGCTGCAGTAAGTACGCGGCACTTGAATGCCTGCGGGGAAATTCGCCCAAACAAGTATGACAGCCACAGAACGCGTCAAAATGAGACAACCAGGGAGTCGATCGTATAACTATAAACCAGACTCCCTGGAGACTACTGTATGTAACTTTACTTACCGGTACTTACTTACTTAGGTACTAACAATTTTTTTGTACATGTATTACTTTTGAGTTTTGTCGCACGCGACTACTCACGGCATGGTCACGGACTAGCCTGCCAACATCTCGCGAGACTCCTCATGTCATGAGTCATGATCGCTAGCGCTCGATCTGCAGCAAATACGAAGAACGACTGGACAAGCGCGACCCAAAGTATGTTGTGTGTTGTTGATCTACAAAAGACTACAATGTCATGATTGTACCGGTACTCGATCTACATGATTGCTCGTACTGTTGTGGACATGGAAATCCGGTCGCACGTCTAGCGGCCCTTGGGCGCTGCCCATGCAGCCGTGGCCAAGCAGTACACAGAAGCATTTATGCGCTGCATGCAGCCCATGGCCCAATGCACTGGTCGCATCGGATCACATGTGCACTACACGCAGCGTTCTGTACGTGCTGAGGGCGCCGGCCCCGGTCAATCGACTTGATTTCCATGTCCGCTACAGATAGTACAGTACATGTGAATGGTCGCATTGGTCACGGATATTACTGGATAGCTAAGACCATGAAGACGTTCAAACGCCGACGTGGTTCCTCCACAGACACTGAGACAGTCCATGTAATGACCATGATGACTATGTCCATGACCAAGATGATCCAAGGCCAACTGAACACGACTGTCATGAGTCTATGTGACCATGGTGACGCCGGATCGGAGCAGTGTGACCATGGTGATTCACAGGAGAGTCAAAAGTACAGCACAGAGTCACCGACGGACAACGACAAGCTCAGCTGCACTGGTGTTGTCAAAGCCTCATACAAAAAAGTATTATTACAATGGAGAAGCTACGTACATGTAGATCTACGTCGAGCAGTTTGGGTGACGTCAGGCAATATTTTTTTGGTTATATCTTTTGTGCCAAACACGCCGATAGTTATTATTAATTATTTTATATCTCGCCAAGCGGCAAGCCTAAAAACTCGGTACGCGGTGTTCACTTGCACTGTCACCATGGTCACCAATGCAATGGTCACAGTTTCACTGAAAGCACATCATTCTATAATAATTTGTGGAGTGATAAATCGTCAGACCTGTAGCTGTGTCCACCGAAGTAGTTACTGTGGCCCTTCCACTATGGATCACAGTGTGTTTCAAAGCGTAGGATGAAGTATGAGATCCCAGTACGCTCGTAATCCCTTGCACCTTGAAGATCGAAGATCGGTTCGTCCGTGTAAGCAGCGTGGTCGTGAATCTGGTGTATCAGCCGCTGAGCAGCCATGAAAGGGAATTCCGAGGGGCTATTGCCTAGCGTGAAGATAGAAAGCGGCAATTGTGCAGGTCACGAGTCAGTGACGGTGCTGTCCCTGTGTTACCACGCACAAAACATCGGGGTCTGACTGCTGATAGAAGTCGGACGAAGTGTTAGTTACCGGTAGTTGTGCAGTGGACGACGTCCGTCTGATTATCGTACTACGTGTAGCGCCAGGTCATGTTGCTGCTGGTACTGGTGGTGGACTGGAGTGTGCCAGAGACACGTCGTTGCCTGTGCAGTCGACTAGTCACCACATGCTGCAGTGCAGCGCAGTGTCATAGGACACGCTCCAGTCCAGGCAATACTTACTGATACTGCCCTGTGCCAGGCTATGCCTGGAGCCTACACGCCCTACACACAGGAACGCAGGTGTAGTAGAGATAGCAAAGCTGTTTGCCGAAGAGCACGCCCTGGCATGCATATCACCAAGAGTACGTGACTCCCCAGTACATAATTCTACTCTTGATGTTATCTGCATGTGAGCTGCTGGTGTCGTCTCACGACGTAGTTGGCGAGCGTAAACCATGCGTTTTGTTTCACTACCTTGGAGCCAATGTGGCCATGCATCTACAAGTACAGCCTCACTGCTGCGTCTGGTTGAAGCCCTTGTTCTTTTGTTGTCTCGTTTTCCTAGTCCCTCTATCATTGTCTTTCATTATTATTTTTGAGCTGGTGATGTGGATATAGTAAAAACTAACATTGCAACCTCGGCCTCCCCACTGGAGCCCGGACCGTCCATTGCGCGCAACATCCGTCCCCGGTTTGGAATCATGAACGAGAGTGTTTAGGAAACACGCAACCTGAACGTGCTCAGGCTCTACTCTTTGTTAGTCGTGAGTATTGTGTGAACATGCAGCCAGTCATATTGCCGCACTGATTAGGTACGTGTCTCGTGCATGTGTGGTGAAGCATCCCGGCGGGGAGTATGACTCAACGCCTGCTATTCAACAGTGCAGTGAAGTCTGAATGCAATGCCTGGAGCACTGGACCGTTGGACCACATACATGTCCCTCTACCCGATGACCGGCGGGTGCAAACTGCAGTATATGTGTCTATTTGGCTGCAATCGTCTGCGGCTCCTGCATTCATCTCGGAAGCTGTATTCGCTGGCATCCGAACGATGCGTGTTTTTGAGCACCGGAATGGTTCCAGAGGGACGTACACGTTCAGGGAAAATCGAGCTTGCAATTGGCAACGATATGGCATTCGACTCTTGTCGAACTTATGCCACTGTATTGTCGGGGGTGAAGAGAGAGTTTTTGGATTCGATCGAACCACACCTACTGAACTTCACCATGTCTCTATATCTTGCTAGTCCTCTTCTTAAGTCTCTGTACCAGCTCCGGGCGACTGCACCTGGTCACCAGGCATGCACCCGAGGCAGGGCACAAAGGGCCTTAGTTCTCCCATTTGTTTCTATGCAGTATGGCATGCGCTCTATTTCTTTTCTGGTGGCAGGCAATAGGAATTCTCCGAAGAACGGAGCACTGAAGAACAAACAGGCTAGATTTTCACCAAGCATAGCGTGCCAATGTATACACTTTGATTCAACTGTCAATAGACTGTGGATAGCCGTACCTACATCGTCAACAATTGCAGTTTGTTACCTATCACCTATGCTCTCCCCCTACACTGGGAGAGAGTTATGGTTGCTCATGACAGTGCTCAGTTCAGATATGGGCAGAGCTAGTACAGAGCCTAGAACTCCCCCTAAACATAGCATGCTATCTACTCCCGTTGAGTATCTATTCCTCGGCTCAAGAAGTAGTTACATAAGGTTGGGTCGAAACCCTGCAATGCACAAAAGATATAATTTTGAAAATCTGATGATAAAAGACAATGCACCGGCACCCTTGCTAGCGCTAAAGCGGTTAAGAAATGGCAAATTGGCAATGCAGCGAATAGCACAAACAGCAACTTGCCTCGTACTATAAAAGGCGCAGCAGATCTATACAAAGTACACAAAGAAAAGAGCAAAAGGAAGTACATGTACTTCTCGAGCTGCAAGGAAACCGAAACTAGGGACTCCTCAGAATCGGTCACAAAACATGGCATGGAAGAATACAATACGGTCATTTATTTTTTTAAAGAAAAAAGAAAGCATACAGCCTGCTAAACTAGGTAACTTGGTCCCAAGAAACAGCAATACCAACTCTACAGTTGTTTGCGCTAGATGAAGTAAGCGCATGTACGGAGCAAGTTGAAAAGCCTAAGGAAAAAAAAGAAAGCTAAAAACAAGAACAAGGACATGGGATCAAATGCGGAGGGAGAGAATACGGCAACACTAATTGGCCTATATTTTTCTTTTGCTGAGGAAGGGTGTTGGCTAGCAGTTGGTGACCAGGGATACATGCAAGTGGACGGGTGACAACAAAGACTGATCATGATGAATTGTGTAATGTGGGCATGACCAATATTTAATACACGAGCAAAGGGCAATTTTTTTAGGATTTTGCATTTGGTACCAAAAGTACGAGAGCGGCATGCAGGTGTGTGTCGAACTACGTTCGGATTGAGCATCACCTGCCGAAGAATTTGCACAGGTACTTCGGAAGCTGCGACGCTCAATTATGCACAGCAACATTTTACAGTGGGGAGAATTGCACGTAACACGCGCGTGGGTGGGTGTTTGTGGCCGCATGCGAGTGTATGCGCGTGCGCGCACATGTGTGTTCGTGCATGTTTATGTGTGCGCGTGCGTGTGTGTGTGTTCGAGGGTGTGTGGGTGGGTGCGGGCAGGCGCGTGTGTGTTTGTGTGCGCGTGCGTAGGCTGATAGTCATGATGGACAGACACAGGGCAGCATGGCGATACCAGTAAGCCTTGCAGTTACGATGAAGAAGTCTTGTACAGGTGAGCACGTCAGCGAGAAGAACCGTGGCCTAGTTTATGACATGCTTGCCCGAGGCCCTGGAGTACGGGAAAATGGATAGGAAGAGAGAAAGAAACACGGAAAGACAGACAGAATGAGATAGTAGGAGTGGTGCTGACGGAGAACAAGGCCGAAGATGACAACATGCACTGAGCCTGTCACTTGACATCTTCTCACAACATTGCCTTGTCTCTGTCAAACAAGCAAGTCAAATCCGTGTATTTTATTTATTTATTATTTTATTCTTCTTTTACTAGGGAATTCCCAACAGGCGTCAGCGCCTTTTTACAGGGAACCCTAGGTATAATTTGATGGATGAGCGAAATTCAGCTGGTGAACTAGACATGCGGCAAGCCGGTGGAAGTGTATTCCACCTGGCAGCGCCCAAATAAGAAATTGCACTAAAGCCATATCGGGTGTTAGCGGGGGCAGAACAAGAGCAGCAGAGACTTGTGTAAAGCTAGAGATGTGTACACTTCACCTGATCGACCGCGCCACTTTCACAGAAACCGGATGATTGCGCCCTACTACATGGGGATTATTTTTGGAAAATGTCACTAAAAGAGGCATTTTCTTTTTCTAAAAACATGGGTGACCGCGGTTTACCCTTATGTTGTAGTCTCTTGGATGCTGAGTCAACTGGGTTTGGTCTGAGAAGGCTGGGATGCAGCGTTCGGCCAGTATTCTCAATCGAACACGGTTGAGTAAGCGGTCACGTGCTCATGTGTACACCAGTCACCTGGTAATCATGCCTGCAGACTACACGTTTCGCACCAAGGTTCAACTCGATTGACAGGAAAGCGCCCTAACAATCTTCACGTGTTTGCCTGCAGAGACGGTGACCATGTGACTGGTGCACGCCTGAGCACGTGATAACTTACTCAACCGTGTTCAATTGGGAATAATAGCTAAACATTGCATTGCAGCCTTCTCGGACCAAAACCAGTCGAATCTGCATCAAAAAGACTACAATATAAGGGTCATTTGCGTTCACCCATGCATTTAGAAAAAAGAAATGCCGCATTTAGTGACATTTTGCTAACAAATCCCCATCCACTGTCGTGGACATGGAAATCTGGTGGCACGTCTAGCGGCCCCAGGGAGCTGGCCATGCAGCCCGCCGTGGAGAGCGGAACATGCATTGTGCGCTGCAGCTTGCTGGTCGCATCGGATCAACATGACTCTGTGCACTACACGCAGCGTTCTGTATGCGCTGAGGGCGCCGAACCCGGTCAGTCGACTGGATTTCCATGTCCACTACAGTAGTAGGGCCCAGTCACCCAGTTTCGGTGGAAGTGGTGAGTTTGATTAGGAATAAAGGAGGAAGGGAATGTCTCCGCTTCCCCGGTCCAAGGCATTTCGACTCGGCACCCTGAAGACTACGAGTACTGAGATTTCTATTCTGAACCATAGTTTCCCTATTGTGCTTTGCATGTGCAAGTAGTGCTGGTTTGTAGGAAGTGGACTTACACATCAATGCCGTTGGGATCTCAAATCCATGTGCTCCCCTCATGCACACCTAGTACCATGGAGTAATCAACTCTGCTCCTTGTCGGTGTGGCTGAAGCACGGGAAGCATCACATCTGGGCAACAACTCCACCTGGCAGTATTGGATCGTTCGTTCCGGAGTCGGCGTAGTGTCATCCACTGCACAGTTGTCTGCTGGCAAACTGCTGGCTGCTGGCGGACTAGTGGCTGCTGGCGGACTGCTGCTTGCCACATTGGCTTCCAGAGGTTCCAAAGATTCCCTGTTCAAGTAGAATTGATGACATCATCAATAAGTTCGATGTTCTTGCACTTAATAATGAATTGTAATTCTGATCTTTGTCATAATACAACCGTTCTGCTCTATCAATTGTTCTAAGTACCTTCTACTCGCCGCGCATTTCAAGCCCACGTGGGTCTGCTTTCTGTGCTCTAGATTTAGCTGGGCCTGTGGAGAATAGCCAGCACTGTTCTTCAGATGTCATCACTGCATGTTCTAGGAACAGATATGCCACTAAGCCAAACTACGGCATTGGGAAACCAATGCAACTGCGTTTACCTGGAATACCTTTCGTACGTTAAGTGTGTGGAAATTTCTCCAAGCAGACACGACCTTCACACAAAAACCTGCTTCAAAAAGGGTGTCCCAACTTCACTAAGGTTCTCACACTGTGGACACTTTGTTGCACTCCGCCCTACGATTATCATTTTCCATGTCTGTGAAATCAAGGTGCGATGCTCTTGCGAGACGGAGCACTCTCGCAGTACTTTACCGAACAGATCAAGGGAAAAGAGTACACATGCCACCCTGATATAAACTACGAATCAATAAGAAGTTCCTACCTGCAATGCCTCCTCAGTGCAAAGATGAAGACGATTAAAAGGGCAAATACAACGACACCGAATGCAATCCCAACGCCAATGACTGTTGCAGACTGCACGCCTTCCTCTGCAGAATCATCAGTCGTTGAATATGCGGGTGAGGCAGAGCGCACCGTCACGCTTGACATCGCTGTCTCTTGTGCAATCTGGATCGCTGATGTCGCTGATTGAGGCGTTGCTGTGACGGTTGATGTAGTTGTGTAGGAACCGCATGTTTTTAGGGCAACAATATGGCAAACAAAAAACGAGGAATTCAGTAGCAGCGGTCGAGCATCAAGTTACAGTCAACTTGGCTAATAACGACTGCGGATATAACGACAATTCGCGAACAACGACAGAATTTCCACGCCCAGAACAAAGTCCATTCTACCTGTATACATGTAATGAAACTTCGGGTATAACGACACTTCGCGAATAAGGACACTTTTCTGATGCCCGGCCGAGTGTCGTTATACGCAAAGTTGACTGTACTTCTGACATGCTGAGTTGTGTGGTACAGACATACTGGTCGTATATAGAGTATACACCGAGCCTACCCTGAAAGACACATACATCTTTGCACTGCTATTCGTATACAGACTGCACATCCAGCCTACCATGAAAGACACCTGCATCTTTGCCCGACTAGAACAAATCCTTTCTAGTACATTCTGCAGAAAGGTGTTGTCACTGATCTAATGTTCATTTCTGCACCGGTAGATGCAACACAGTGGTCATACAGTGTTTTCAGAACCCATTGCAGTGCTTGATGCACTCACTGAAAGTGCAAGGCAAAGAGAAACAGAAGTGGAACGTACCGTCAGTATCAGGACTTGAAGAAGAGACTTCTAAATAGAACACAGCACATAACACGCACACAGATACCATCGGGAAGCTATGGGAAAAGTTGAATCGATTAAACTTTCCATACAGTAGACGGGAACGCAAGCATACAAAACGGCTGCAATTCGAGTGTGAACAGGAGACGTCGTCGTGCGCCGACAACTCCGGATTCGTACAAGAGGAAATATTTAGCATTGTGAACATTACGCTTCCCACGATAACTCACAGAATGGCTAGCACGACTGGAGTTGAAATTTTTCAAGATAAGATCTCAGGTTACTTCATTGGATTTAGAGACAGTTCAGGAGCGTGACAGAGGAACTGTTCTATCATTTCCCGGGTCTATTATTTGACTGCTACAACTTTCAGGGTTACTTTTGGTTTCATAAAAAATTGGTATTGTGAACTTGATTCTGCTTCATTCAAGGAGAAATATTTTCAAAGAGGTCCCAAAAAACAAGAAATTAGGTCTGAAAGTCACCCTGTCAGGGATCATGCCTCATGACTCGCGCCGTTCGACGTTGAACAAGGCAACGACTGCTGCACGTCGTGTTGTTCGAATCGTACAGGATTTTTCAGCTCACCCCAGCCCTTACATCCCGTACTGTCATCGTTGCGTCAAATGTGAACTAGGCTAAAGCACCGAAGCCGGAACCACGTCACAACAGACCAATGTTAAGTTGTGTTACATGCAGCTAGGTACTTACCCGCACACTCGCTCTCTGTATAGAGATTGAGTGATCACTATATCTAGACAAGCGCAGCAAGTAGAATGTGACCTCCATTACCAGTTAACACTTTCGGACACCAATGACCTGTGCACAACTTCTCGTCCATTTGAAGCCGCTTTCGAACTGTTCTTGTACGGCAACTGAGCATACCCAGATGAAGTTCCAAAACAACTCACTTCTCTAAACTCCTAAAGCTCGCATAATTACTGTACACACTTACTTTCACATCCTGGTGGACTTGGGTACCACACTCCGCCAATCTGGCACGTAGAGTTGGTGATAGGCAGACCGTTGCTCGGAAGATATCCCGCTTGGCACAGTATAGATATCTGCGCACCAATCGCCCTGCTGAAACCTGCTATTGGCTTGTAGTTGAAGTGGGCAGACACTAGATCAGGACACTGTTCTGGAGACAAAGGAAGCAAAAATTCAAGCCAGTTGGTCAAAGGAATGAAAAACTCAGCGCCGGAATTCATACCATACGTCATAATAAAAAGGAAGATGGATTTTAGTCTCCCAAATGATCAGAGGGTCGGCAATTAATCTGTGGCGTGACTAAAATGTAATGACTGCACTTAGTGGAGTAGTAGTAGTAGTAGCAGCAGCAGCAGCAGCAGCAGCAGCAGCAGCAGCAGCAGTAGTAGTAGTAGAGTGTATTATTTGCCTAGGGGAGTCCCAACAGGCATGGCCTTCTTCCAGGGAACCCTAGGGAAATAATTGTAGTGTATACTTCACGGTTATAACACGATGCACACTGAGAAGTGACACAGTGACTTACCCCAGTATTGGTACAACACGGCATTGTAAAAATGTACAATCAGCACATCAATGATGCAGCATGTACCAGTACAATACAGATACAGTGCTGGCAAATGAAATCCAGCCTTGTGGAAATACCAGTCCTGGACTGTACAACCCCAGCACTGTGGACAGTTGGCTGTGCAGTGAACCGTGACTCTACTCTATTCATGGTTGTTGGATTTCAGTTCCCACCACCCTGTTGTAACACTGTGCAGCTACATTTCACACAGAAGAATTCTTTAGGTCAGTACATTTAGGTTTTCATCAGCAAGACCATCATTATACCTCCTTTCGTCTCAAATGCAGCAGTCGAGTCAGGGCCACTGTAGTTGGTAACCATCATATTTTTTACAATGAAGCTGCGTGGAGCGCCATTCAAGATTATTTTAAACATACGCAAAGTGACTCTAAATACATGTACAAACAAACCTTCTTCGACAGTGACCGAGACAGTTGAGGATATTGGCCGAGAAGCATGAATACATCTTTCGGTCACACGCTGTGGACGCGGAGGGGTTGACCCTATTCCAGTGCAGTCACCTTCCGTGTACCACGTTGTACACGTTACATTGAAGGTAACACGTGATGTATCAAGATCGTTCAGTTCCCTCACAATCGTTTGATCATTCAGCTGGAAGGTGAAAACGGAATGCACGATCTTCGGAAGGTTCGTCGTCCGGATAACCGGCATGTCCAGCGCTGGTGTTGATGTCCACGAAGCGTTCAGATTTGAACTACCACTCGACATGCACGGTATCGTACTACTGGCATCACGCGAAATTAGTCGCTGGGATGTGGGGAACGCTGACCGGACTTGTTTAGCTGTGCAGAAAAAGGGACACAATAATGGCTCCTCCGTCGGCTCTTGCGGCGGTGGAGCTTGCCAGTGACAGACCGCGAGCAACATCGACAGTGGCAGTAACACTACAATTGCCAACTCAAAAAGACCTACCTTGCGTATCAGCAGCTCGCACACCATGTACACCATCACCAACAATGCAATCTACAGCAACCACAACTAATCCACCATCCAAGCCCACAATTGAAAGACCAAGACGATCAACAGCCAACTACAACAGAATATACGCACTCAACGGACAAGGGCGCAAGGAGGGACGTGACAGCAGGGTGACGGCCGAGTCCCGTTCAATGGACCAAGTCAGGCGGGATAACAGAGAGAGAGAGAGAGCGCAGAGGAAGCGGATGATGGGACGGACGGTGAAGGGAGCAATGAGTCGGAGAGCGACGATTGTGGTGATCGTGAGAGTGCCGGTGAGAATGTTAGTGTTGTGCGTAGGTTTCGTGGTAGCAAGTCTTCAGTGTATAGTCATCTGTTGGCTAGTCCTGAGTGTTGCAATTCGTATTCCGACTCTTCTTTCACTGTATTGTGCCGTGGTCGTCATGGTCATGGACTACAGTTAAAAGTTTTGGAAGCCATCTGTCAGCGTCTGTATAAGCCTAATTTGTGTGTACAGAAAGATAGTACACGTAATACTGCGAGTGAGACCCAAAGCTAATAAATCCTTGCTCAATTTCATTCTCCATTCTACTCCAGTAGCCATACTGTACAGTACACAGTCAGTAGGAGATTATTGCACAGAAAATAGGAAATGGTTTTAACCTTACCTACAATGTTGAGTTGATATGTATGGCTAGAGTTGTGATCCACTGTTCTGCAATGGTACAGTCCAGTGTATGACGTGTTCAGTATAGGATGTACTGTGCTGTTCACCTGTACAATAGTACCTCCTGAGAAGGCACCTGTCTCAGCCAACACTAGACTACCGTCAGTCTTCTCCAGTCGAATGAAGGGTCCTGATCCACTGAACACAACACATCCAGGTAAGTAATCGGTAACATCGGCTGTAGGTTGTCCATCACCAAATGTCACTCTGAATGCTCCTGTTGATTGTCCTGTACCACTAGCACCGAGAGTGACAGGTTGACCTGCATGGGTATACAGGAGAGTGCAGTGTCACAATGCTAAATCAATACTCAAATGACTAGTGACAGTGACCTGTCAATACTAGCACAATGCTGCATTTGGTATTTGACTATTTGCCTTCACACAACACCAGGGAAGCAAACAACATTGATGTCCAACACACATGAAATAAATGACATTGGCATACCCAAATTCATCCACCACAACTTATCTTACCATTGCAGCCAATCAGCAGCAGGGGACTGAAGAGAAGCAAGCAGCCAATCAGGATACCTTCACAGTGGGACACACAAAGTGAAAATGAGAACACAGACGTGAACATGAAAAAGAAGGAACACTACAGTTGAGTTTGGGTACAGAAAGGATGGGAAGCTAAATGAATTGCACACGCAACGACCAGGTGTGCACCCTTTGTTGGGCATGCTTGCATTGAATGGGTTGACTCCAACCAATTCCATTTGCATACAAAACCTTGTCTGGTAAGATGTGAAATATCAACCTACATGAAAATCCTGATAGCCACAGGCCCCGACACATGACCAAAGCATGAATTTGACAACAGCTGAAGGGGTCTACAAGGGGGCGCATTCGAATTTGCTCAGAACTTGATGCACCGTGTAGAGGGGAAGTTAAGCCTAAATCAAATTTTCATCAGTTGTAGTCTTCGGGGTTCTGACTCGAATGGTCTTGGTCCGAGGAAGCTGAGACGCTCCCTTCCTCCTTTATTCCCAATCGAACTCGCGCGCTCCCACCGAAACTGGGTCGACTGGCCAACCATACCGGTTTTCCCGGTATTATACCGGGAAACTACGGTCACTACCGGCATACCGGGACTTTTTGACGTTGAACGAAAAACTACCGGTATTGGCACTGAACCATGAGTGTTCATAAAAGGTTGTTTTGTGGTGTGACAAGGGCACATGCGGCCCTGCATTTTACAGAATCACACATGCAGGGGCGATCTGACACTAAAGAAACTCAGGTTTTGGTCCCCCAATGAGCAATGGGTTAGAAATGAATAAAAAGAAAGAACAATTGGCAAAAAAACTGCGGAAAAACGCAAAAATAATCAAAAATTGCGCAAGAAAAGAGAAATTGGCCGAAATTCGCAAAAAAAACAGGAAATAAGGGAAATCAGAGAAAATTAAAGGGGAAGTTAAGGCAAAAATTAAAATTTCACCAGCTGTAGTCTTCGGGGTGCTGAGTCGAATGGTCTTGGTCCGAGAAAGCTGAGACGCTCCCTTCCTAATGGAATCCCAATCGAACTCGCGCACTTCCACCGAAACTGGGTTACTGCGCCCTACTAGATGGGGATTTGTATGCAAAATGTCACTAAAAGCGCCATTTCGTTCTTATAAAAGCACGGATGACCGCGATTGGCCCATATGTTGTAGCCTTTTGGACGCTGAGTCGATTGGTTTTGGTCCGAAAAGGCTGCGATACAGCGTTCCTCCTTTATTCCCAATCGAACATGGTTGAACAAGCGGTCACGTGCTCCTGGGTGCCAAAATCACCTGGTCACCACGCCAGCAGGCGACAACTTTCACACCAAGGTTCAACTCGAGTGACAGGACTGAACCCAAAAAGGTCAAACAGGCTAGTAAGTTGTACCCTGCAGGCACGGTGACCAGGTGACTGGTGTACGCAGGAGCACGTGACTGCTTCTTCAACCATGTTCGATTGGGAATAATGGAGGAACGCTGCATCGCAGCCTTTTCGGACCAAAACCAATCGACTCAGCGTCCAAAAGACTACAACATATGGGCCAATCGCGGTCATCCGTGCTTTTATAAGAACGAAATGGCGCTTTTAGTGACATTTTGCATACAAATCCCCATCTAGTAGGGCGCAGTCACCCAGTTTCGGTGGAAGTGCGCGAGTTCGATTGGGATTCAATTAGGAAGGGAGCGTCTCAGCTTTCTCGAACCAAGACCATTCGACTCAGCACCCCGAAGACTACAACTGGTGAAATTTTAATTTTTGCCTTAACTTCCCCTTTAAGGGAAACTGGGTGTGTGACTAAGGGATTTGCTTTGGCTGGGTTGGCAAGTATGCTGGGTGACTGCGCCCTACTAGATGGGGATTTGTATGTTAATTGTAACTAAAAGCGCCATTTTGTTCTTATAAAAGCACGGATGGCCGCGATTGGCCCATATGTTGTAGTATTTTGGACACTGAGTCGACTGGTTTTGGTCCTAAAAGGCTGTGGTGCAGCGTTCGGCCCTTATTCCCAATCGAACATGGCTGAACAAACGGTCACGTGCTCGTGCGTACACCAGTCACCTGGTCATCGTGCCTGCAGGCTACAACTTACAGCATGTTTGAGCGACTTTCTGTCACTCGAGTTGAACCTTTGAACCTTTGAGTTGAACCTTGGTGTGAAAGTAGTTGTCGCCTGCTGGCGCGGTGACCAGGTGACTGGTGTACGCAGGAGCACGTGACCGCTTGTTCAGCCGTGTTCGATTGGAAATGATGCCCGAACGCTGCATCGCAGCCTTTTTGAAACCAAAAGCAGTCGACTCAGCGTCCAAAAGTCTACAATATATGGACCAACCGCGGTCATTCGTGCTTTTATAGGAACGAAATGGCGCTTTTAGTGACCTTTTGCATACAAATCCCCATCTAGTAGGGCGCAATCAACAAGTTTCGGTGGAGGTGGGCGAGTTCGATTGGGAATAATGGAGGAAGGGAGCATCTCAGCTTCCTCGGACCAAGGCCATTCGACTCAGCACCCCGAAGACTACAACTGGTGAAAATTTGATTTTAGGCTTAACTTCTCCTTTAACCCTTTCAGTCCCAAGGACGAGATAACTCGTCCTACAGACCCCCACGCGATTGGCCAAGGACGAGATATCTCGTCCTCGTAGTGCGCACTACTATATCTCACCGGCCATGCACTACAATCTAGCTTGGCCGATTGTGGCTCTTCAAGGGGGAACTAGGGGTTTTCCCCTACTGAATAAGACCTCACTCGCCGTGTTTGAGTAAGTAAGGGCGCGGGAGCATACATTCAGAGCGCTCGGACGAAAAACATATTTCGATTCAGAAACAATTAGATTGACGGAACGTACTTTAGGTCTCTTTATCTTTCACTCAGACACGGCGAGTCGCCGCATATCGGTTGAAGAGGTGCTCCAGTCCATCATGAACTCGGACATTGCTGACTGGAGCTGCGATAGTGAAGGCGATGACAGCCGTCCGCGATTGTGACGGAACAAATTTCGCGAACGAGTCCGCCGTGGTCGATGTCGTAACTACTGCCGTGGTCGCCTTGGACGGCCCTGAGGATATCGGAGATGTCGATGTCGAGCTTGAGCAGGGCGCAGCAGCACAAGATACGCCAGCGAGGGACAACAAGTGGGTTTGAGTTGATACGACTAATTTGAATAAAATCAGATTTTTTATGAAAATGGCCCGGCCAACAGCGTACATCTGGCCTGGCACTGAAATGGTTAAAAAGCCACAGAAGTGCAAATGTGCCGTCATTGCAGTAAGCTTCCGTAAAAAGGCTCATCAGCTGCAATTTTGCTTGTGCCACGAGGCCCACGCGCTCTCTCATCACCTCTTTGAGAAGGATGAAACAGTCCTTTGTTCTGGAAAGGAAAGGACTGTTTGGGTGTACACTCTACTGAGTCTTACACATAATGCATGTCGTCATGGCCATTTTGTAGACCTACCATATGTATGCGAGTGCAGAACTGCCTCCCTGACGGAGACTGACGTGTGTTGCATGCACAGCATGTAGTGTAGCTGCACAGCGTGGAGTTATAAATAATCGACTCCCCCCCCCCCCCGGCGGATGCACATTCCCAGCGCTGTAAAAGCCTGTAGTGCCGTACTGAATGAGTGCTCGAAATCCAAACGGCTACCTGTTTCCTAATGGATCTGTAAATAACAGGCGGGTACCCGGTTACCCGGAACACCCGTTTCACCCCTACTCGATACTAGCATTAGCTACCTGTATGTGGTTGGACATGAGACCTGAATGGAGAGCTTTTTTTCAAATGTTTGCCTCTTCCAACCCAAGGAACAGCTATCGCAGCTGCCTTTGTCCGTAAATATGACCAGCCGCACATTACTTTGCCGTGCTTAATAGTAGTTGTAACAATAATTATTAGTTTACTTCGGCATACGCAACATGCCTATGGCCATCTTACAGGGTGCCCAAGGAAAATATGAAAGCAGCTATCGGTAAAAGCAGGCACAGTATGCTGGGATCGTATGATTGAGGGTAGTGCTTGATGCCTTCAGCATCAAGACTTACTATTGAAGCGTGGGATAGGCGAAGAGAGGTATGCAGCCAGAAAGCTTGTTTCATGGGCTTGAAAAAAGCATTTACAATTGAAACTGTAATCCATTACGAATCGTTACATGGATATATTAGCCCATAGAAAATATGTCAGAGAGCATGTCTGAGAACACCAGACAAAGTGTGCGAGTCAATCTCTCCTCTTTCGCTTAAAATTGGCAGGTAAGTTTCTTTTTTGGGTGTAGATCATCTGTGCAAACCCCTTGTAATGTTTCTGAAGGAAACGTTGCAAAAGGCGCAAAAACGACATGACTTATCAGGGGCGTCGGAAGGTAATTTAGCGTGGTACGGTCAGCTATCTGAAGAACAATTTGCGCGTGAGGGAGGGGTGGCGGAGCCGAACATTTTGGAAATTTAGAGCCCAAATCAGTGCATTTTAGTGATTCACGGGACACTTGCGGCAAAATGGTGGTACGGTCAATACCATATTGACCGTAGCGTATCCGACGCCCCTGCTTATGGGTTGGGTGTACAAGCAAGCCACACTACAGCGTATACAAACAAGCTATGAACAGACCTCCATCAAGCTAACATTGCCTGACTTTAGAAGAGATCCGGAGTAGCATCGTTTGGCCACACCAGCATCCTAGAAGATCAGGGCCAGTACCCCTGACACCACAAATAATCATGTTGAAAAAAGCCGATATAAACGTCCTTTGGAATAGCTACTGTGAGTAAGAGTGCAGTATTTCTCCGGGCTCGAAGGACCAATTCTACAAAAACTAATCTCCTTGTGCCCATAGTAGCTATTAGTAGAACGGTAGAGGCTTACGTCGCCACGACAACAACTTAGACAACGACTCTGGTGCAGGCAACGGCTACGACACAGGCTTCGATACAAGCAACAAATGCGACACCAGCTGCGAAAAATGCGACACCAGCTGCGACACTGGCAACAGATGCGACATCTACTGGGGGACAGGCAACGACTGCGAAAACGACTGCGACGCAAGCAGCGGTTGCGAAATAGACGATGGCTG